GGGGGGGAGCTGTGATGTGAGCTCAAATACATGTGCATGTACTTCAAGTACATTTTTGTGGACACTGTACAGGAGAGGTGACTGCGGTGTAGTATCCCTCGTCAGAGACCGTGTCTCCAAGTGATTTAAATCTATAGCCTACTTGGGTGGTACATAGGCTACGTGGTATGTTCCGTTAGCTCAGTTGGTCTCATGCTGGACTACAGAGCGGATGGACCTGGTCCGAATCCTTGACTAAAAAACGTTTTTATTAAACTCTTGTGTTTTCACGACTCTTAACTTTAATCCGTTTGAGTTGGTCCTATCGGAGACGGACGAAGTTCATGGTACGTCTGGTTTATACAATAGGGCCACGGCTTACTAGGTAAGCCGTGAATAGGGCGGCAGGCCCTATTTTCCTTACTCCTACACACTTATCTTAAATAACCAAAGAAGAGAAATGCGCGTCGCAATACATGTGTCTTGACGAATGAGCCGAAAAATGGAGATCAGGTGCAAAGTAAGTAGCCTACGATGAAGCAGGACTTGTCTCAGCGAGGATTTCAAAAGGGAGACAACGACAGTTCCGACATAGCCCGAGGTCAGCAATGGATTACAGTTCTTTACAGCCGGAACAAAGAGGTTGTTAAATCAAATATTCTCAAATGCTGAAGAGTCTTTGATTAAATCAGAGAGGGTTTACAGTAATATTACTGTAAACTCTCTGATTAAATATATGTACACGAAGCACTCTTTATAGATCTAACCTTTTTGAGTCGGAGCCGCCAGCGTGGTATAGGCACCAAGACTCCAGTTCCAGTCCTGAGTAGCCTAGGCCTACGCTCAAGCTCCTTTCCTACGCATCATCTTGCTTGCTGCACACATACGGGGGTGTCATGTCCTTCCTTTTACCAAACATTGATTTTCTAGTTTTATCACCGTTTCCCACCACTTCACACACAATGGATAGACTAAGGGAAGCTGGTGTTTCTAGAGGGTCGGGGAGAGACAGCAACCTGCGTGGAAAAGTCAGAAGAATATCCAACCAGCTGTTAACTGGCACGATCAGCAGGAAGACCCTTTCATGGATCCTGGAGAGGAGGGGGGAGCAGCTGTGGCATTTGACCGTCTGCAATGATGCCTATTCTCCAACCAAGTAAGCAAGTGTCAGCGTTTCCCACAACTACTGCTCCAAGTCATATCCTACATCGAAGAGCTTATTCATGTCATGGAGAAACGGGTTCTTCACCAAATTGATAGTAATGGACTAATTATATCCCCCACATTTACAGCTTATCTGAGGACAAGATACATGCACGATCTGGTCGTGAATCTGGATCCCGAACCTCATTTAAAAAAAAAAAACCTGACAAAAACCGCTGCCTTATAATATGGACGGTTTAATGTTCTTGTATCTGCAAATATTTTCGAACTAATCGACCTTAAAGAAATTTTTAGCTGGCGGGTCCTAAGGGCAACCTGGGCTGAGTGGGATTCAACATCCTAACAGGAAGAAGGGAGGGGTGGGGGGATTTTAAAAAAAGAAATACCCCACAGAGGATTCACGCCATAACGCTCTGGATTCACACATACACGTAGCAGTAAGAATAAGGAGCTAAGACTAGTAGCAGAAGAAAGAGTCACACTACAGTGAAGGAGAGGAGGTCGGGGATTGAGGGGTGGGTAATAGAAATTGGAGATGAAAGCAAATGACAGAATAGGACAAGAAAACAGGAAAGGAAGTAAAAGGAGCATTTTTCTTCGTCGCTATCAATATCAAGTTTTGAACTCGAACGCGGGACTTTTTGAGTAAGAGGCAAACATAATACAAGGGCTTCCATTAATTTTATTATTATTATTATTATTATTATTATTATTATTATTATTATTATTATTGTTATTATTATTATTATTATTATTATTATTATTATTATTATTATTATTATTATTATTATTATTATTATTATTATTATCATTATTTACGATATTCAAATGTCTGAATCGAAATAGTCTAGATCTAGAACTTACTAGAAGCGAGGATTCGCAGAGGTTCGTTTTCGCGTTTCCTCCTTTTCACGGGACCATAAATTTGTGTCCATAAACATTAGATCTATTATTTTCTACTGGGTGTACTGTTAGGAGCAGCATTCAAAATTTTCAGCATTTCCGCGCACAACAAAGAAGGAAGACAAGATTTATGGACGAATAATATGTAATTCTCAGGTATTGGGGCACTCTGTGGTACTTTAATGCTTTCAGCATAATATGGGATTACTGATTTTTTTTAGAGAATGAGTTCTGGTTTAACCTACCCAGGATAGATCGGTTTAGTACCAATATGTATGATGTAGAAGCCCTAGTGCTCACACTTCCTTCCACTGTTCCGTTCATCACTCATTCATCTTTTTCTTTAATTCTTTTACTTTTTTGTCTAAGGAAGAGGCTAGCCGTACTTATTCTTAATATGATGGCTAGACTGACCATTTACAAAAAATAGGGCTACTGAATTGTAAATATACATTTTTAGTGTGCAGTACCTAAAGTATTTGTATTTGAGACGAAACCAGGTACCTTAATGACAGGGCATGTATTTTAAACCTCCTGTTTTCTAATGTTAATAGGGCCTAAGATAAGTACGGCTAGACTGGCAGTCTAGCCGTACTTAAGGACGGCTAGACTGTCAGGCTAGCCGTACTTAATATTGATGGTTGAATTGTAAATGAAATTTTTAGTTCACAATGCCTAAAGTATTTGTATTTCAGACAAAACCAAAAGGTGCCTTACTGACTTGCATGTATTTGAACCTGAATAATTACTAGATCTAGATCTAGATTCTAGATCTAATGAGACCTGTGTACTTAACAGTTGGGCCAAACCTAGATCTAAGTACGGCTAGACTGGCAGTCTAGCCGTACTTAAGTACGGCTAGCCACTTCGTAGATCTAATCTAGATCTAGTCTCTAGATCTCTAGATCTAGATTCTAGATCTAGTTTTTCATCTCTAGTTCTAGATTATCTGGAAATCTAGATCTAGATCTAGATCTAGATATCTAGATCTAGATCTAGATCTAGTAGACCTGCATGTTTGACGACAATCGTCTGAAATCCGACAATCGCGAACCGGCCGATGCTTTCGCTAGGCCCGCCTGTATCAGTCAATGTGCGTATTGCGAGGTCTGGCCGACTGCCAGCAACCCTTTTTTTTCGCGTCGGCTTCGTCGGCACTTTCGTTTTCGTGTCGACCGCTGACGCGCGCACCGCTGACTGCCGACGTCGGCGTTTCCGACATAATTGTCGGAACCTAAGTAGAAATGCAAATACGAAAAAGGACGACAACATAAATTATCTACTTTCAGTTTCGTGCTCGAGCGGCCGTTTTGAATTTCGTTTGTTGACTAATTCAATTGTTCAGATCGTGTGGATTCATTCAAGTCTGACTCTCCTAGTTCTAATAGAATCTAGATCTAGATCTAGATTTATATAGATCATTACAGACCTCAATGGAGGATTCATATTCCAATTCTATTGTGTCAAACCCTATCATAGGTTGTGCTGTAATATTAATATTGGTAAAAATAAGCATTTCATCAGGTGCGTGAATTATTTATTTATTTAGATCTAGATTAGATCTAGAATCTAGACTCAGCGGAGTCCCTCTGTTCGGAATCGGATGCGGATTTCTAGTTCAAGGCCTATTCCTATTCACTTGTTCTACAAGATGTTGATCTAGATCTATCTAGATTTATTTAGATTACTAGATCTATATATGGAGTATTCATATTCCAATTCTATTGTGTTATTGTATCAAACCCAAAAGCAATGTAGATGTAAGCCATATAGATCTAGATTTAGATCTAGATCTATATGCTCCTTGTTTGTTTTGAAGTGTGGTTTTTTAATTTAAAATTTTTTTTTCATTTAGGACTTGTTTTGGCCTTTTTACACGAGGCCCGTTGCAGGTTCTTTTTGGAGGTAGGGTTAGGGTTAGGTCTCTTCTTTTTTGTGTTTGTTGGGGTGGTCGCTCGTTACTCGGATAGTCCTTCCTTATGACACCCACAAAGGCTTTTGGGGGGGGGGGGGGGGGGGTGCGAAATTTTCAGACAATCTGGTTGAGGCTCACATGCAGGTCTAATCTAGATTAAAATCTAGACCTAGACCTACTACTACTAGTCTAAATTTAGATCTAGATCCAGAATCTAATAATCTAGATCTAGATCTAGACTCTAGATATCTAGATCTAGAATCTCTAGAGTCCAGATCTAGATCTTCTACTTCTAGATCTAGAATCTAGATCTAGATCTATTTCAAAGGGCGTTGTTCAACCTATCCTATGGCCCATGCGGGCTTTCAGATTTGCACACACTGAAATAACTAGACTCTAGATCTACTTAAGAATGTGGGTCCTGTTTGGGGATACTAGTAGTGTTTTGACTGCACCGACGATTACTTCTGGTTCTAAACGACTACTTTTTGATGCGCGAGCCGAATGGAGAGATTTCCTATCAAGCCTAATTGCAAAACATCAAATTATGGTCAAATTCAGGGGGGGCATGAAACCCCATGTTTTTGTTTGGACAGGGAGCAAGCCCCCGTGATATCCCCCCTTTGCCTTGTTTAAAACAAGTGAAATTTTACTGCTCATTTTGTAGGTAAGGTCTACTGACAAAACGTCAATACCGACTATTTAAATCAATATCGATATCCAGTAATATGTGTGGATGCTGCCAATTCTAAAGAACATGAAGCTGCAGCGAGCACTTACCACACCTCTGTGATTGGCCCAAATATAGAGGACGTATTTCCACTGTCTATTTTTGTCGTCTTCCGGGGTTTCTCCCAAGATTCTTGGATTTCCCTCGACAGTAGCTGTTGACTAGATCTTGCCGTGTTTGTTTTTGCTTTTTTTGTAGGCCCTATTTATTTATGTTATCTATTTTTAAACAACCTCAGCAATTCTCGTCTTTCCATCAATTTACCTTCTCCTCAAAGTTGTACACACGCACAAGTGCATGTAACGCGCACACACACACACATAAACATGCGCACACACACGCACACACACACATACGCACAAGCGCACACACTGCCCAAGCAGTCAGCGATGAAACCTAGACGTGGCCCATTGTGCGCTAAGCGGCAAAGCGGGCTCGCCACGGTGATCTCTAGTCAACTGGCGAGGGAAGCCCTTGAAGACAATAAAAATAGATGGCTGAAATACATTATATATTTGGGCCAATCACAGAGATGTGCTAGGTGCTCGCTGCAGCTTCATGTAGTCTAAACAGACAGGACCCACATTCTTAAGTAGTACCATTACTACCATTAGTATAATTAGGCCTAAAACTAGAATCTAGAGATCTAGATCTAATTATGGGTCTAGGTATTGTAGGCAAGCAGATCTAGATCTCTAGATCTAGGTGTAGGCCTAGCCTAGTCCTAGCCTTCTACCCTTTAATAGACAATGACATTGACATGAATGATGTCTGTGTATGCATGAATACATATTAAAAAAATAGTTTTTAGTATTTTTAGGCATAAGTATAATAGACCTAGTATTAGCCTAAATTTCTTGTATTTTAAGCCTACCTGTAGACTTAAATTACCAATCCCACTGACTCTTGGCTTTTTGAATGATGGTTTAAATTGTCACATCTAGATTCTAGTAGGTTTTTGAATTGTAATGTGACAAAACTATTCCTTAGTGAGTGGATTTTGTTGGGTAAATGGAGAATATAATTTAGACCTTAATTAAGTATAATATGATGCTTCATATACTACACTGCAAAATAACATGGCCTACTCAATTACGGTAATATAAATATTATCTTGAAATATTTGTCTGTATTTAGTGAAATAGACTTTTCAAACAATTCACCCCCTATTATCAGTTTGAGGACGGAGTGAAACATTAATTTGTGACAAAATCAAAATCAAGTTTACCTAAAATTAAAAAAGGAGGCTACCTAAAAATATTACAATTATATTGGAGCTTTCCTAGAACATGTATAGATATTTAAGAAATGCTAAATGGCGAAGAGCATGAATAAAACTGCCATAAAAATAACCCCCCAATCTGTTTCTTTGCAGTGATTCATTCATATTCTCTTCAACACGGGATCTAAGGAATCAAAGATGACTTCAGTGGAAGGTGCTTGCAATACCCGCAGTGGTGCTCAGAGACTGCTGTCGGGGAGCAATGGTCAGGGAGCTGCCATGGTAAAGGCTTCTTCTCCTTCCCCAAGCAACTACAGTGACAAATTCAGTGAGTCCTGTCCTTTGGGCATTACAGATTGGAAGAAGCGGGTGAAATCGGAGTACACAAGGCTCTGCTTTTTGAGGAAGGACAAACGAGCTGATGAAGTGAAGGTACAGAGAAAAAGAACAATCTTTTTTTTTGGTTTAAATCTTTACTGACGTGTCATGCCCTCTATGCTTCATGATGACATCTTTACCTTTTCATCTTGTCACACCTTGTCCTCAGTGTTGGGGTCACTACAGTCGGAACATGTCCATCTCTGCTCTCCCCCCGTTTTCAGCATCCGTCCCAGAGTCTGTCTGCTTACAGTCTCCATCATAATCTGGTTGGAGACCCGTCGGACTGGTCTGCACAGGTTGTAGTGTTTCTCTTATCCCCTTTGGATCCCCTTCTCCTTCAATCTACTTAGGGTGTGGGAGCCGCTATCTGCCCTATTCTTCCTCAATGATAGGTTCAGTGTCAAATTCCCTCCCCCTTTTGCTTCTCCTAGCAGCTTGTCTGCTTTCTCTTTGCCGGTTACCCCTGCGTGGCCCGGGCAGAAAATCCAGGCCACTCTTTCCAGGTTGATCTCCCTGATCGTAGCCTTCCAGTCCGCTTACAGCATCCCTTTCTGTACCTTCTGTAGTGTGCTCATAGAGTCAGTAATGATTACTGCTGGCTGATGGCTTGTGTTTTTGATTCAGTGTAGAGCCTCACTTGTGGCTTTTATCTCCATACACATACTGGATGTTGTCAGTGCAGTTGCTCTGCTTTTCTCTTTCACAACTACCCCATCAACTCTGGCACTGAAGGCCCAACGTGATTTGACTCCTCTGTTGACTGATCCATCTGTGAAGATCACAGCATCTCCATGATAACATCTTTGTATTACAAAATTTTAGGAAACCAATTTATGGTGCATTCTGTACAGGGTACCAGTGTGTGGAGACAATGTACATTATTTTAGTTATACATCTAATTAATTCTAATAATTTACACTTACTTTTGTAGTCTGAGAAAAGGTGGATTTATGTGTTCATAAAAAGAAATAGAGGTATGTTTTATTCCTTGATAGCAAAGGAAATAAATGGTGGCTTGATATTAACTATGTTTTATATTGCAATAAACTTATTCTGCATGAGTTATAGGTATTGTGCTCTTTACTGAAGTATTGAATGTGATATAAGAACAAGTTTCTCTGAAAACATAAATATTTGGGGGGGGGGACAGTTGTATGCTCTTATATACAAATATTATATTACATGTATGGTCGGGTGCCCATTCTTAATCATCATCTTTTCTCTCTTCTTACTGTATCTTCTGTTCTGTAGCTAAAAAGAAGCTAAAAAAACCTGTCTTAATGTGGTCTGCCTTTAAGATTGCTGATTGCTTATCTGGTACAGTCTTAAAAGCTTTAAGAAATAAATACTTTTAAACTGTTTTCTAATCAGTTTAGTCATGCTGATGCAATCAAACCTGCTCTAACGACCACCTGTCCAAGACAATCTCGACCACCTGTACAAACAAACACTTCCCACTTCCCCTCATGTGTTATAATATGTGAGGCAGCATGGTGAAATTTGGCGCTCGTCAAAATAATAGAAGTAATTTTCTGCTGGTTTGGCAATTTTTATTGAAATTTTGTTTTTTGGCTCAACACCTGTGTCCATTAAAGAACCCATTTCAGTGTGAATTACTGTCGAACTTGCCTTAACGGAAACCTGTGTAAAACGGAAACCTGTCTTAACGGAATCTCCCCGCTCCGCCCTTGATTTATTCCTCTTTAATTACCTGTATAAAACGGAAACCTGTCCAATGCTGAAACGGAAAAAAAAAAAAATCCGCTCCCTTCCTAGGGTTTCACCTGTCTAAGATGGAAAGTGCTTTGCCCGCTCAGCCCTGATTTGAAACAAAACTCTAAAGTTTTGTTCTGCCGGCTCTAAACTTAACACCATGACCATGCCGCTGGGTGCGGAATGGGAGTAAGGGTGCAATTTGGGGGTAGATGTTACCCCGTCATTTGAGCCATGAGCAGATGGTCAGGGTAGTGTGGGTATGAAATCTCTCGACTGCCCGTGAGAGTGCTCTAGTACCGAGCCACTACGGAAACTTTCCTGGGCAGTCGGAGGTGTGACATTAGATCGACCAAATTGATGCCTGCCGCACTGGTACGGCCAGCCGAGAAAAGAGTTCCTCAAATCGTTGTTACAATGATGGCAGTGAGGGGTGGCATCGGTGGGTGGGGCTAAGGGTGGAAGCAAAGGAGATGTTCAAACGTTAATAGGTCAAACAGTGGTCCTATGAAAGGCGAGCACTGGTGGTAATTGGATAAGTAAGACTGACGCATGTCATTATCAGACAGGATAACAATTGAGAGGTGTGAAGTTTTGACCACTGCTTGCCGATCCGACAAGCGATCCTTGATCCCACTGGCTGGGCATTTGAACCCCCCCCCCCCTTCCATCTCCCCCTAAATTCCCATATCTAAGACGGAATTTTTTTCTGGCTCCCTTTCAATTCCATCTTACACAGGTTCGACTGTATATGTAAAAACATTGATTAGAGGCATAAAAATGTAAATTGTCAGTTTCCATGGACTCTGAGGCTTTGGAAATAACCAAACTTTGGCAGCCATTTCTTCACTAATTTTACCTCTGAAACCAGGCTTCATTCAATCCCAATTGTCTCGAAATCATAAATGTACTCAAGATAAATGGGTACTTCTTTCATCGAAAGCATGGCAAATGAACAAGCTTTGAAGCGATACCAATAACTCCACTTGCTCAAAAATTGACAAGCGCTTGATTTCCCCAAGCTGACACACATAAAAAATGACATTGTGTAAGAGGACCTCCTGTCTTAGATGACACTTTGTTCTATGGGAATGAGTGGTCATCTGGTAGAGGTTCGACTGTTGGGCAAGTTTTAAATATCCAGCAATTTTCTTTTTTGTCACCAGAATGCCTTTGCAGGGAACAGAGTTGAGATTGAGAAAGAACTGGAGGGAGACAAGCAGTGGCTTTGTAAACAGTCAGTTCAGAAACTCATTGTACCAGAGATTTTGCCTGGCAGATCAGCGAAAAAGGTAAAAGCTCCTAAATGGTGAGCTGGTTTTCAGATGTTCTTTCGACTGAATTCTGAGGTAAATTTGTCATGCTTTTGTGTCAGTTTGCTCACACAATCAAACAAGTATTTGTCTGAGCAAAAAATGTGCAAAATCATGTGAGTTTAACACCCTTTTTAACATTGTAAGGTATTTAAGAGGTGGTATCTCCAAATTCAGCATCCGTCTTAGAGGACTGAACCATGTGGGAAAATTTGTGTAAAGTGCCTTTCCAAAGCATGGGTCTCAATATTCCGTTATTTAGCAGATTTCCGCTACCGCCATTTCCTCCGCTAAACTCCGTTACCGTTACTCTTTTACTTGAAATTATCTTCCAAATCCTCAAATTGTTATGAAACTAGGTTTGATAAGTTAGTGGTATTTATTTCAGCATTTTAGGGTTAAATAGTATAATGATAATGGATGTCTTGCAAAAATGGTCTTCTGTCGCGATCACAGGGAAAGTTCCTCCTTTTTTAAGTTCTGAGTTGAGACCCATGCAAAGGCCACAATGTCAGACAGAGCTGAGCTTCAAACTTTGAAAAGCCCAGTTTTATGATTACAAGTCCTGTAGCATTACCTCAAGACTACAGACACTACAGTCCATGCTGTGACTGGGTTTATATTCATGGTTAGTACTAGATTGGTCTTCAAGTTATCCGTTTGACCAGTGACGATATAGCTCTGTGATTCTTTAAAATAAGTATTCAAAAAGATCTCTGATTTAGCCTCAGTTTTATATTGTGCTACAACAAAGAAGGCGGCGTAGTAAAAAGATAATTGAGTTTCGTGTAATTGTAATTTTGTCATAATGATTCCCGTTAACCCCTTATTTGATGTATCTGATATATTTTTTTCTTTTCTTTTTTTCCCCAATCCAAACAGTGTGAAGTTACCAGTAGCATGGGATTTCCCATTCAGTCTGGTCCATTGAAAATAATGAACCCGGTGAAGTCTATCCCGACTATGTATAGCTGGGCTCCTGTGCAGCAGAATTTTATGGTAAGTTGTTTCAATGTGGTATATATGTCAGTGCATAGAGATGAAAGTCCTCTTTGTAGTTACCTGTAAGTTGGTGTATTTTGAACAGAAAAAGACATTCCAGTATTTTTCCCCCCTTCATGAACAAAGTCTTCAAGACTGTCTGACACTTATAGAAAATTCCTTTTTTTCTCTCCATGTTCTAAGACACTAAAATAGTCTTGGTTTTGTGTATTCGTCAAATTGTTATTATATGTGCTAGTGTTTTACCTCATAACTTTTTAAATCTTTGATTACCCTACTCAGTCAGACTGTATAACCATCGATTTTCTTGAAAAAGCGTTTGGTAACGACTGTCTGAAATAAAGTACACACTTGTGAAGACTAGTTTTGTATGATTTCAGACTTATTGCTTGTTTTTCCGTTCTCATCACCTGTCATTGGACTTCAAAAGACAGGTTTTGTGTCCAGTAAGGTATTATTCCAAACTGGACCTGCTTAAACCGAACTGATAAATGGCAATCTGAATCAGATATGGCCAGGTCAATTAAAAAACCCCCAAACTATATTAAATCAAACAAACTAAAACCAACTCAATTCAAACCTGACTAAACAACACCAAACCACAGAAGGTCAGAGGAAGCTAAATCAAAGCTTTTTAACCCTATCCGTACGCCCTGGGGTCATTTTGTACCCCCGGAGTTGTATTCTTCACATTTTAGAATACTTCTAGTATGAAGATCTCTTTGACACTTTCAGTATTTCTCAAAATATCATTTTGACAGACTGCTATGCTAAGCATACGGATCGGATTAACAAGTAAATTTCCTCTTTGGAAAGTGTTGGCTATATGGATACGGATAGTAAAACACGATGTACGGATTGGGTTAAATAATGTGAAACCGAACCAGAGCACTTGAAAGCTAATCAAGTCTTTTTCAAATCAGCTAAAATGAAATTTAGCCATTCCAGCCCGGCTGAAATCACATCAAGGTTCTTCTTGTTGTTAATCCAGTAGCCTTTCGGAATGTGCTTTTCGATCCAATGTCATGTAAAAAAAGATTCAGGTCTTTGATATTTGTTCATTACTGTGGTACAGGGTATTGCATATGGTAGGGATAGGTGGAAGAAGTTGTTGTTGGTGATATCACATCAAGCTAAACCAAAGCAATTAATACCAATTGCATGTTTGTCACTCTCTTGTGAACTGCTATTCCCGGGGTGCCTTTATAGTCGAAGCAGACTTTGTGCTGTTGAGGCAATAGAGGTGAGCAGAGTAAGCCTGATTCCCCGTTTGGACTTCCCTGTTGACATCAATCCCTTGGTGCTCATATGACCGTATGCAGTTGTGAGCGCCGTAAAACCTTACTAAAACAAAAAGCAACAAAATAGACCGAGCTGACCTAGCCTTGACCTCCGCTCTTTCCCCAGGTGGAGGATGAGACTGTCCTGCACAACATTCCCTATATGGGCGACGAGCTTCTAGAACAGGACTGCTCTTTCATCGAAGAGCTTCTGAAAAACTACGAGGGCAGAGTGCACGGTGAACGAAGTTCAGGGATTGGCGATGATCTGTTTCTGGAGCTGGTCAACTCTTTGGCCACTCAGTACAAGGCAGAAAACGGAGGTGGGTAGAAATAGTTGGGAAGTAGAAACGCTGCCTCTCTCTTGATTTCTCTTATTGGAGAAATATTTTTGTTTTGATTCCAACAATTTATTTTATGTTTTCCAATTTGAGTGACTTGTGGGGACGCTGCATTGTAGTCTTCTCTGTCTTCTTCTCTTGTGTCCCTTTTTTGTTTTGATTGGTTCCTCTCGAAATGTGGTATTATTGTACTAATTTACAGTACCCAACTTTGTAATCGACAGTTGTTTTGCAGATGGACTTGTGTAAGTTACACGAATATTTTAGAACAGCTACTTTAGTGGATACTTAGTGATTTTCTTGCCTATTTTGTAAACTATTTTTAAATTATGCTTTTTTGCTAGCTCAGTTGTATGTGAGTGATGTTAGGAACTTTTTCTTTTAGTAAACTGTTGAACCTGCTCTAACAACCACCTGTATAAGACAGTCACTTGTCTTGGAGAGTGACCATAAGTTATCTCTGAATAATGGCTACAACAAGGAATTGATTATGCTAAGGAATTTTTTGTGAAACAATAACATCTCCTTAACTTTCCTACTTCTACTTCCATTTTAGTGTTATGATTAGGGTATTCTAATTCCAAGTCTTAAAATTCATAAAATATTATATGTGGCAGTTGTTTTGCGGAATCCATGAAGCTCCAATGATAATTGAGGTTATTGCTGTTTTTTTTTTTCCCTTGTGACGCGCAGAGGAAAAAGTGAAGAGAGAGCTGAAGGACAGTGTGGATCAGTCGATGGAGGTGTCGGAGGTACCAGTGGAGGTGTTTGAGGCTATCTGTGCGGCGTTCCCAGACCAGGGGGGAACTGTTGAGGAGCTCAAGGACAAGTGAGTGAACCTGATACTTTTTCAGAATTTCAGTAGTTCTGTTGGGACAAGTGAGTGAACCTGATACTTTTTCAGAATTTCAGTAGTTCTGTTGGGACAAGTGAGTGAACCTGATACTTTTTCAGAATTTCAGTAGTTCTGTTGGGACAAGTGAGTGAACCTGATACTTTTCTCAAAATTTCTGTAGCACTGTTAGGAGAAGTGAGTAAAACTTATACTTTTTTTGAGATTTCAGAGTTTATGGTTGACGGCAGGTTCAAGATGTCTTACTTCCAGTTTATCTGTTTCATGTCCCTGTTTATTAACCCAATAACACTTTTCTGTAATAACTAAGAAAGTTAAAAATTTTTTTTTTACATAATTCTTGCTCATGGCTGTGCTATTCTTATTAATTCGTGTCGCAACGCGTTGGAATCTGGCGCTCGTCAATTTTTGGGCATGTGGAGTTATTAGTATCATTTTAAAGCTTGTTTATTTGTCTATCATTTAATGGAAAAAAGTACTCAATTAACTTGAAATTAAGTTAACATATTTGTGATTGAAGGAGGTGGGGTTACCTGGTTTCAGCCGCAAAATAGGCAAGAAAATGGCCGCCAAAGTTCGGTGACTTCTGAAGCTTGAGAGTCCTAGGAGACTGAGAATTTACACTTTTTTTTTGCATTTAATAAACTTTTTTCAGAAAATATTAACACAGAAATGTATTTGTAAATAGAGATAAAAGGTGTTAAACCAAAAACACAAAATTTGATAAAAATTGCCAAACCATTGGGAAAATATCTGCAATTTCGTAATTTTGACGCAAACCTGATTTCACAATGAAACCTCACATTTAGTAAAAGATGCTGCCGGAGGTTTTTTTTTTTTGTCTCGCCTCTTTGATGTCGGCTTACTTTGTGCTGATATTATAGGTATAACACTTAACCCATGGTAGTGAAAGCGTTTGGCTTCACATGTGAGCAGGAAGTGCATTGATTTGTCTGTAGCTGGTGGAAGTTTTTTCCTAATGCTGGCGTGTAGAAATGATGCATGCTGAATATGTGTGAAGTCAGAAGTTTACGTTATTACAATTGTCAATTTTTCTTCTAGTAAAGAAATCTAAGAAATCTTATTAATTTTCCTGGAGATATAAAACTTCTATAACAGATTTGGGACACTAGAGTTTATATAAGCTACAACTTTCATTGCAATTCATTCTACTTTGTCAACATTACTACGTTTTGGTGATACTTTTGAAAGTGAGTGTTTCAAAAGGAAAAATTTGATTATTGTTTTATTTTAATCTTGAACAATTTTAACTGTATTTTCCTACTTGTAGTATAGATAAATCTATTTACAATTTTGAATTAACACACTATCTGCTCCTAGTTGCTGCAAGTTTTGATCTTGGTCTTAACATTTCTCCTCTCTGACCTAATGTGTACGTGCAGGTATAAGGAACTGGTGGATGCTCAGCGAGCCAGCGGCACAGAACCTCCCCCTGAGTGCACGCCTAACATTGACGGTCCGCGGGCCCAGTCCGTTCCTCGGGAGCAGACTATGCATTCCTTTCACACACTGTTCTGCCGGCGCTGCTTCAAATACGACTGCTTTTTGCATCGTGAGTTATTGTTACCATAATGAGGGGTTCATATGAGTACAGCTGAAACATTTCCGTGGATTTTTAAAGTAGGGTAAAAATAACATAGTTTAGATGAAGAAAATCAATTTGCTCTGATAATTTCGTGTTGTAATGCTATTTTTAGGTAATTAAAAAAAAAATAGACTAGGAATTTGAATTTGCAACTCAGCTTAGTGAAAGAAAGTAAAAACTTGTACTCTTTTTATTAAAGATTTTGAAATCTGCTTCTCATGGGAATGAAATGTCGCCTTTGAAAAATGTTGTATTGGTTTGCAAATCTAATTCATTTTAAGAGTAATGACAGTCTTATCATAAAAATAACACTATTTTGTTGACATTGAAGCATTCTCAGAGTGTCCCTGTCTTATATGAGGTTGATTTTCCTGCAGCATATCATCCTACCCCGGGTATGTTGTCCAGAAAAATTCCTGAGAAGAAGCACAAATTTGAACCTTGCAGTCCAGAGTGCTACCTCCACACTGTAAAGGTGATTTAATTTAATTTAATGTATTACTGTTTGTATTTTAACATAATTGTTAGGTTTGTTGACTTATTTTGTTATTGAATCTGTCATAGATGGGCTGTTTTTTTATTTTTTAATTTGTTCTATGCCTTGCCCATGAGGCTGATGTAGTTAACGATACTGAATGTTAAGTGGGATGATTAAAAAGACAAATTTTGGCACTGATGCGGAAACTTGTGGGTATAATTGTTATCAGAAGGAAAATTTTCTTTTGGCCTGTACATCATTCAAAGAGGTGATAGATAAACAGAAGAAGAATGGAAAACTTCAGTTTGGTATGTTTTATGGTGCTCGCACCTGCTTAAGATTATATGAATGTGGGGGACTCAAGTTGGCTGCATTCTTGCTGGTCTACAGCACGGTTTGGGTTTGCTTTGCAAGTACAAATTCAAATACTTAATTGAAATGAAGTGAGTAAATCCACAACTGAAGTGCTCCTTTTTTGACATTGAGAAGTGTCTTATTTAGAGAGACTAGGCTCCAAGTACATGTACTATTGATTATCTGTTTTACTTCCTGCTCAGATGGGTCAGTCTCAGGGCACATCGGAGGAGAAGGACAGAAAGGATATGAAAGAGGTGCCGAAGGAGTCTGGCAGAGCCACGCCCCCTCGCCCTGAAGTCAATGGGCGGAAGAGGAAAGCAAATAATGGTAGCAGTGCAACCAGCAGTGAGAATAGTGAAGAGAGCAATAACGCAGACGGTAATTGGTGAACTTTTGGTCTTTAACACTTAACGATGTCTCTATTACCTCTGTTTACTACATTTCCAGGAAATTCTCTCCTCCTTCTCACGTATCACTTCTTTAAGAAGAGAAGTTGAAGTAAGATCTTTTTTTGGTGTATAAGGATGTACGTGTTATGGATGAGTTTTGATGTGTGTGTTTGTGTTTAATTAATAATTGCTTTTGTGTTATAATTGTAATGGTCTCCATCCCTTATTTTAGAGATGCACTTTGCTTAAATATTGTTGAATGGCGCTTAAATCTCAAATTTGATGACCTTCACTAGATGTGGACATCAAGTTTCCCCCATGCACCAGTCCCACCACTGATGAATGGACTGGGGCCGAGGAGTCTCTGGTTCGAGTCCTGACGGGTGTGTACCGCAGCAACTACTGCTCCATTGCTAAACTCATCCGCACTAAGTCTTGCAAGCAGGTTTGTGGTATTTGAAACTTGTTTAGTGTGGCGGAAACCCTCCGCTGCCTTAGATATTTTTGGTTATTTTGCTTTAGACACACTGAATTTGATTATTCAAAATGAATTCTTGTATTCAGAAGTAAATGATTTCTGAAATTTTTGTTTTTGTTTGTGGGTTTGCAATGGGGGAAGGACAGCACTCCATGATATTTTAACACATTACACCCTAACTCGCCCGGGATCGCCCGGGAATTCCCTTACGCGCTCCACCCTGACTCGCCCGGAACCGCCCGCGCCGACCCAGCGTCTTTAGAAACGAAAGTCTCGCCTTGACGAGACTCTGGGACCGGGATTTTGATTTGCATAGTATAGCAAAAAGTTTCTTCTTTCGTTTGATACCGAAACGAAATTTTTCGGGCTAGTAGTTTTAGTATTAGAGCTGATCGAAGTGCGATCGCGTTACCGACACTTCGAAAGTGTCTCGACTTGTTGAAAAGCGACACGATTGAGTTCGAAAACGGAAATAACGATGGATTTGAGCAAAAACGAGCATGTGACAAATCAGATGGCTCAGATTTTGATGAAAACGTTGTAGGAAGAGTTTGGGGCGATTCCGATTGATCAGACGGAGAAAATCTAGAATTTAGATCTAGGGCCCGACCGCGAGGCTGAGAGTAAGAGTGACTGGTCGGACACCCCGACTGAAATAAAGTTAGAACATTTCCAACAGTTTGCGCATACATAAAGTTACATTTTTCTGAAATTACATTCAGTTTTCTTTTTAACTTTTATTTTTTCAGGATTTTTGGAATTTGTTTAGTATTTTTAAAATGTGTTTTTTAAAGGCTTGTATTCACGGGAGGTGGGTTCTTTCCCCTTGCTTAGGATCTAACAATGGACTTCCCGTCCAGGCCCTTAGGGTGTAATGTGTTAAATTGTCTTTTTGGCTTTGCATATAGGATGATGACTCACATCTCAAGGGTGAAGTTTAAAGAAATATCTAACAATGTCTACTTAAGTAACTTCACTCTGTTTTATTCCCTAACTCATAGAAAATACCAAATATTCTTGAAAAGCTAAGGAAATGTTCTAGAAAAGCTTCCCATTTTGACGCAGTGGCAATAAAGAAGCTACTTTAAAATATGGTTTCTCCGAGTTATCTTGCTGCCTGATCTACATTGTTAGTACTGGATCACTTTGAAAAGTTACCTGATTTACAGAATGCTCTTTGAAGTTTGTTAATTAGAGATATGAACTGAATGAGTTTTTAATTTGCAGGTGTATGATTTTGCTGTGAAGGAAGAGGCTCACATCCCTGATGTAAATGAAGAAACGACTCAGACTCCACCCAGGAAAAAGAAGAAGAAGCAAAGGTAGATTACTGTTAAAGGCTCTTACCTGACTTGATTGTGTATGTGTTTGTAGAATATCTCAGTAAAAACAGTTGTTTCTTCAAAGGCTTTTCGCTATGTGGGAACAAAGGTGTAGTAGAAAATGATGGCCTCATAGGCTTGATAATTTATGATTTTAAAAAAAAGCAATGTTTTTCATTTTGCTCTGTGTCAAATGGAATATGACCTCTAATGTGAAATTTATAGAAAATATAGCTGGGTGTGAAGGCGATGATATATACGTTAATCTTGGTTTGGAACATCCTAAATGGGATTTAGTGGGAATAGGTACCCGGCCATAGACAGCGAAAGATCTAGTCAGTATGGTAGTGTTTTAACGCCTATAAATGGCTGCTTGCATTGTATGCTTCCCAGGAAGTTGAGGTTGTTTCAGAATGCTATTAGGTCTGCTGGGGTAATAGTTTAGATTGTAAAGCACATAGAGTTTACTGTTGAGCGGGGATTTGTGCTATGCAAATGCTATCTATTATTATTATTATTTGTTACTCCAGTAGAGTTCTCGCTACTGACTCTGTTGAAAGCTCAGCAATATGTTTTAAAGCACACAGAAGATTAATCACTTCATGCTGTTATCTTTTTTGAAATGTGAGAATACTCTTGGAAGATATGAAAAAAATGTAAGGTCTATTGCATAAAATCCTGCATGGACCTTGCTTAAATAAGCTGTTACCAAATCTGAACAATTCTTCCTGGTTTTGTGATCAGATATCGATATTTTAATCCCCTTAGGTTGTGGTCCATGCATTGCCGGAAAATTCAACTCAAGAAAGATGGAACCAGCAAGACCGTGTACAACTATCAGCCATGTGATCATCCCGGCCAGCGATGTGATGAAACCTGTCCGTGTATCATGGCCCAGAATTTTTGTGAAAAGTTCTGTCAGTGCAGCTCAGACTGTGAGTACTGTAGACTTTTTTTTGGTGTGAATGCTAGTGATTCCTCACTGGTTAAAATTAAAAAAAACAACATAATATATATTTATTTTTAAAAAACTGACTCATTGGCTTCAGATTCTGAGAAGAGCAAACCTTGTAGACTTTGTGGTACAGAGACCAAATATATTTAAGCGCGAGTCTACCCTGTAAATTTTCCAAATTTTCTGGGAATAAGAAAAGTATGTTTTTCAGTTTTGGTTATAGCATTTGCTGCAAAGATAGCATTTGCTGCAAGTAGTGGAGAAGCTTATGTCAGATTAGACTGATATTTTGTTGTTGTCACTCTAGATCATGTAGTGTCGATATATCTATTGTTGTTGTTGGTGTCATAGATCCAGCAATAGTTGGGTTCTTGCCCTTCTGTCAAATGTCATGTAGTGAAAGGTGCTGGTTATAATAGAATAATAAAAAGGGCTCACATGGGGGTTTCATATGTTTGGCTACTCTGTATGAGTTGAAAAATCGTTGGTTGTTTGTTGTTTATTTACACTGAAATATTCTTAACCGTCCAGGTCAGAATCGGTTCCCTGGATGTAGGTGTAAGGCTCAGTGCAACACCAAACTGTGCCCCTGTTTCCTGGCGGTGCGAGAGTGTGATCCTGACCTTTGTCAAACCTGTGGCGCTGGTGAGTCTTTGGATGTTGTCTGGAGAATACGTACGTTGCAATTTATTGAAGTATGAAAGTTAACTGATGTAGCTTGATGTCAATCCTGGCTGTAAACTTGGAATGGTGTAATCTCTCTTGACTGCTTTCCACCGTACTCCTCATATCACTGGCATACCGGTGACATTAGAGGTCCTATGCCTGCTCTCCATCACAGGTAAAAGCGTTTTGCCATGGTTCGAGTGCATAATCCCATTTAGAAGTCTTACTGTAACAGAGTTAATTGTTCAGTGCATTTAGCCTTACAGACCTTTAGTATGCACATTCACTATCGATTCCTATTTTTTAAAATGTGCATCATCGTGTGGCAGGTGCTCTGGTGTGGTTTGCTTTCCCCTTCAGTCCTGTCAAACATCTATCGTCCTCATCTTTCCTCCCTTTTTTTGTGTTTGTTACTATCCTGTAACACCTCTAATCTTTGACACTTACATGACTTTATTGTGTTACAAGTGCCGTAAATCCCTTACTAAAACTGTGCATTATCTTACCTCTGCAGGCTTTCACCTATTGCTACACTTATTCAAATGTTTTTTTTTTGGTTTTTGCCAGATATGATGCATTGTTTGTCTTCCATCATACTCAACAGTTTAATCTTGAATTAATTAAATAATCTTTTTGCTGTTTACAGACCAATTTGAGACTCAAAAGATTTCGTGCAAAAATGTTAGTGTCCAAAGGGGACTTAGAAAGGTAAGACTTTTCTATTTTACTTTTCCTCTGTTACATTTTAACATCTTCAACATAATGCATATATGCAATCAAGTATAGCCTATGACTGACAGTGATAAAGTAAAAAAAGATTCACTTCTTTTTCAGTCTTCAAAGATGACTGTGAGGTGAATTTATTGCCATATGTAGCAGATGAAAAATTTCTAGTGCTTGACTGCTGTTGTAGTATGTTGACAGTTGCATGTTGAAGGTTTAAAAAAAATAGTTTTAAAGATGCTAGTTTTATGAATTTATTGTCACATGTAGAGGTTGAAAGCTTTTTATAAAACATATTAGTTGATCGAGTGTGTATGACTACTGGTGTAATAGTATAGTAACAGTTGCATGATGAAGGTTTTTTATTTTTGTTTATAGATGAATACCCTCCTGGTCCTAGATGGAAGGCTCACGCGAGTTAACAATAATCCCCTTTACTAATATACAGCTTTGCTGTTGGGGGGGGGGGGGAGGAGGTAGTGGTGTTGGGTTTTTTTTTCTTCTGCACACCACTGTTATTGATGTACTCCACCTGCCTGTAGACTGAGAATTGAGAAGGATATGGCTAAGTGTCTTTCCTGAGAATTCACATCATCCTATGTGGTGGAGCTTGGATTCTAACCCGCTGTGTTTTGACTGCAAGTCGGATATTCCAAAGCTGAGAATGCCTTTCTTGATTTAAGTGAGCGTTGAATTGGAGACCTGCATTTTATTTGATTGTGACCAAGTTTTGAAATTTGAACAATAGTACATACATAGTCCACGAATGAGTTGATGTCGTTGGAGAGTTAAAAAAAGATCCAACTCTTCTGAAGTTCAGCTTAAGCGTTGGGATCTGTAAAGCAAAAGAGGTGCCGGGACCAGAGAAATAGATCAACTTAACCGAAGATCAACCCAGGCTTGTTCAACACTAGCAAATTCGACTGTATAATCTGATTATCGTCTTATAGGATAAGAAATTTTTCGTTCTGGCCGAAGAGAAATTCATTTTCTTATTTTGAGTTGTAATTAGGCCAGGGCAAGATCGACTCTGGGAATGGATTCTTTCGAGTCCAAATTAAGACTTGAAGAAGAATCGGTTTCGTTCACAGACTCGAAGCTTCGAGTCTGCCCTAGCTCAATGCCTCTTGTCTCCCTTTATTTAGCCTGGTTTCTAGCCTAGACTCCGAGAGGCAACCCTACAAGCCTACCTGCAACACACACACACACACACACACACACACACACACACACACACACACACACATACACACACACACACACACACACATATACACACACACACACTCACACAAATGCGTGAAAGTCAACTTGTCTTGGCACGCGCGCAGGCTTAGCGAGCCATGTCTGTCAAACTCAAGACTCGAGTCTAAAAGCTATTTTTAGCAGTCTTCAAGTCTCGGTCCCCAAACAGCCAGGTCCACTTGAAGCAGCTTCCAGACTCGAGAATCGGACTCGATTCCTCGATTCTTTTTCAGTTTAGGAATCGAGGCCTTGAGTCTTTTTGCCACCGATCTTTCCCTGGCCCAGTTGTAATGTCCTCTTGCTGTGAACACTGACAGCTCACTGGTGGTACATGGTTTCTTTCCCTGTCTGATCCACAGCACTTGTTGCTGGCACCCTCAGATGTCGCTGGTTGGGGAATTTTCTTGAAGGAGCCCGCAGAGAAAAATGAGTTCATCTCAGAGTATTGTGGAGAGGTGAGTTTTGTGTCCCTGCCTTTTTGTTGTTGTTTTATGATTTAAATACTTTACCGAATACAGGGAAGGTGATTCCAAAGGTGGCGCACCTAAACCCTGAATTAGGATATTGAGCTGAGGGGAAATTTTACTCAGAAAATGATAATTTTTTTTAGACCTCTCTAAAATTGCTTTCTCATTGCTTTTTCAGACCATGTCACATTTTTGTGTATAATGTTTCCAATTTGCCATGACAAATTGCTTGCATTATTTCAGTGTCTCATTTACTCCCAAAGTTTTGTAGCTGACTTTAACTGTGTTTCAATAACTTAACAATTGACGTTGATCTTTTGATAAAGCTTCTTTGTTTGTAATACCTCATTATTTTTCATTTTGTTTTTTGCAATTTTCAGATAATTTCTCAGGATGAGGCTGACAGAAGGGGAAAGGTCTATGACAAATACATGTGCAGCTTTTTGTTCAATCTCAACTATGGTGAGTGAAGCAAAGATCTTTTTTTTAAACATTTAGGAACTTTGTTCCTTAAGTTCTCTAAGATGATGTTGGGTTATTTCAGGTACTCATATTGCGACTTCAGTGCTTTCATTCTTGTATCTCCATTTTTAGTAACAGTGAATAAAGTTCATAACAAGGAGTGAACTTGAGAAGTCACATTTTTACTGTTAAAAGAGTGGAGATACAACAAGAAAGCACTGAGGTGGCGATATGGTTATTGTTCCTTGAAGAAGTTTGAGAGTGTTGTATGGTTAATATCGTGGTTTATTAGGATAGCTGGTTTATGGCTTGAATTTTGAATCAACAATCCTGGTATTGTTGTAGTTAAGATTACACTTTCTATTTCCTAAGAATACAGGGATAAATATATATATCTGTATGTGTCGAGTTAAACTTTTCCTGTAAGTGTTTGAGTTTGTTTTGTTTTCCTTTGGTCTCCACCATTGTTATTTCCCTGTCCAAGGTGTTAAATACTGAAACTGGACCTTTTCATTTTTGTTACAAATTGTGCATACTAGCATTAGGAACTAATGACTTATTACATATTTTTACACATTTTCTCAAAAAGGGGCTAATTTGTCGTAGCGTTACTGTGGTTCCTAATTTTTCTTTTTGTTTTTAACTATTTTTTTGGGAACATGTCACAAACTATACCTTAATCCCGTTTTCTTCCAAGATTTTGTGGTGGATGCCACCAGAAAAGGCAACAAGATTCGTTTTGCCAACCACTCCATCAACCCCAACTGTTATGCCAAGGTCATGATGGTCAACGGTGACCACAGAATCGGCATCTTTGCTAAACGACCTATCCAAGCTGGAGAGGAACTTTTCTTCGATTACCGGTCAGTTTTGGTTTTTGGTGGTCTGCTTGAGTCCTTTCAGTTATCTAGAGAGTGGAATATTTTTTCCAAGTTTGTCAGAAAGAGAGGTGCCAAGATGAGTGTTGAAAATGGTAAACTTCTTCATAGGACCTCCAAAATTGTTCGCCCTTATCCAAGAAGACAAAGTGCTTGGTCGTACTAATCTAGGATCAGGGAAGTGTAGAAAACATATTGAAAACCCGGATGCTAACAGGGATTGAACTCTGGATAAAAAAATCAGTCTGTGTATTTGAGAAATAACAGGTTTTAAAAAATTTCTGCCAGATTGGTTGAAGCCTGACTTAACTTCTTAAAAGTTTTCAGCCACAGGGGTGTGATCGCCCTGTTCTGGTTTGAGAGGGAGAAAACTGAAATTGTGACTCACATTAAATGGATATCTCACGGTGCTGAGAAAGATGTGGGTGCTGTTGTGTTAAGATGTTGAGGGGGCCTAGTTACAGCAGGGTGGGGGCCACATCCCACTCATCAAGAGTCGCCCTTGTATGGTTGCAAAGTAAGATTTTAGGGAAGGCCTTATACGTTGAAAGCTTACAAATGACTGGCCCCAGCATTCTATCCCTTGAACCCGCGAGATTATTTCTTTTGGGGTTTCTTGAGTAGAGACAAGGTCATCCGAAACATCCCAGAAATATCTGAATAGTTGAAACATGGAACAGGGTTTTTCAAAATTTCCAGTTGTGTATTCAAGTTTGTATTGTCTGAAGAGAAATGGTTAATACCTGGAGCATGAAATCCCTTAGTTCATTTGGCAATATCGATTTCGTATGAATGTATTCACAATGCTCAAATGTACATTTTGGTTGTTATTTTTTAAAAGAAGTTGCATTGTTTTGCATTTTCATTCAATTTTGTTCGTAATTTTTAAAAAATTGGTATTTCTCGAACAAGCGTATTGAGTTTTCTTTATTGTACAGTATTGATAAATTTGACACTTTTTTAGCTGATCTGATCTTGTGTACGAAATTTGGTTGAAATGGGTCCAGAGATGATCAAATAATTGCTCTTAAAATGTGTCCCTTTAAAAAAAAAAAAGATATCTGGTGCGTACCTGTATACGGAATGTGTGCTCTTTAAAAGTTTGATGCCGCTCTAGGGCTGTGCTACTGACTGAATTGTCTGTAGGATATTCTCAAAGGGGAGATATGAACATGCACTTATGCACGGTCGAATTGTAAAGAGGCTGATTTATGTATGTCGTACTCATTCTGTGCCGGAACAATAGAGAGGGAACTGCTGCATTTTCTTTCCTCATCCTTACTTACTATCGTCATTTTTCCTGTTCTTCTTTCGAATATTTGTCACTCTCTTGTGAATTGCTATTTCCGGGGTGCCTTGATAGTCGAAGCAGACTTTGTGCTGTTGAGGCTAGAGAGGTGGGCAAATTAAGCCTAATTCCCCGTTTGGATTTCTCTGTTGACATCCACCCCTTGGCGCTCATATGACTTTGTGCAGTTAAAACCTTACTAAAACTTGTCTTTTTTTTCTTCTTTTTCAGCTATGGTCCTACAGAACAGCTCCGTTTTGTTGGTATAGAAAGAGATGGCATGATCTAGCTCTACAGCAAGCATTTATCTGTTTCTGTGAAGGAGTTGTTTTAGTTTTTCATAAATTTGTTTCACAGGTTTCTGTGTGCCTTTGAAATTTTAAATTTGGTCTTACTACTACTAGTTATTCATGTTGTCCACTTGTTTCCTTTCTGTACATGTACCATATATATGATCTTGTCACTCAATAGTCACACTGAAGGCTTGTTCACTCAGTATACATTGTAAAAATAAAGGTAATTTGTAGCATGTATGAAAAGGTCTTTCCCAAACTTCACTGAGCTGTGGTTGTGCAAATTTTTACAGGCATGGTATGATGAGGGTATTGCACCTTACTTGGTCTGAGAAAACTGATCGTTGATTGTTTAGAAACTTGGTTTCATTTTGGGAATAAAAAGTGTACTGATAAGTTTATACAAGAGATCAGATCTTTTCATTTTGTTTTGGTGTCATGTCATGCCTGATCACTGTGTTGTCGCTATAGTGTGTTCTACTGGTGCTGGAGGTTTATGTGCTGCTTGGCGTTATCTACAAACTACAACATGCTACCTTAGAATTGATGATCAGACATTTTAAGATGTTTTGAGTGACTAATGCCTTGAGATCAGAAACCGAATGTGAGACATCTTGGTGAAATCAGGCGCTCGTCAAAATAATGAATATATATAGAAAACAGCATTTTTCAAGCAGTTTGAAAATTTTGATGGAATTTTATTTTTTTTCCATTTTTGGCTCAATGCCTTTTATGTCCATTTGAAAATAGGCCTACATTGCTGTCTGGATTTTACTGAAAACTTTGATTACAGAGCAGAAAATGTAAATTTACATTTTCAGAGGACTCTAACTCTAAAGCTTTGGGAGTCACCAAACTTTGGCGACCTTTTTCTTGATAATTTTACCACTGAGACCAGGCGACTCCAACCTCCTTCAATCGCACTTATCTCGAATTCTATTGAAGATAATTTGGTAACTTTTTAACTGAAAGCAAGACAAATGATCAAGCTTTAAGATGATACCAGTAACTCCATATGCCAAAAAATTGACGAGCGCCCGATTCTACTGCGTTGTGACACAAGTGTTCTATCTGCTCTATCATAATTGTAAGATAATTCGGAGTGGTTATCCAGTGGTACTGTGCTTTTAAGATGATGTCAAGGGGACACGGATACAACTTACAAAGTACATTCAAATCTGACCACAAAATTGTCCCATCACTATGTTTCCGTGCCTTTATTACTTTATAAATCTTTATAACGATCACACAAGGGGGAAATGGTTGATTTGTGGGTGCTCTTCTAGTGTGGTTTGCTACTTGTTTCCTATCAACCATCTATCATTCTTGTCTCCCTTTTTTGTGCTTGTTACTCTTTAGTGTCTCCAATCTTTAGCACTTATTTAGATTGAGTTATTATATGACCTAATTGTGTTGTTGCAAGTGCCATAAAACTTTTACTTAAACTTAAACTTAAACAAAAAGGAGGAAGGCATGGATTTGAGGCGAGGGGTTGTTATCAACTGCAAGGGAGGTACTATTTAACTTTTCTTCAAGTTTGGCATTGGCCAGTTTGTGAGATGTAATGCCCATGCAATACTGCTCCCATGACCACGGAATATCTCAGTGATGCTAATCTTCCTTGGGCCTGAGGAATTCTGGGTTTTTTAGCCTTTGTTTTACTCTTGGTCTTACTTGAGTGTACTTTCTGTTCATATAATTTTACAAGAGATTGAAAGTGTGTTTTAATTTGGTTGTGGCGCCGATGACTTTTCTCCTTTTTGACCGTTTATCATTAACATCACTGATATCTGCTTGAGGATTGCCCAATGCCACAAATTAAACGATCACAGAATGGCCATGTGGCCAGAGTCGATGCCACTTAACTTAGAGAGACCAAATTTTTTATGGTAACTTGGAGGTAGCCTACTTTGTGGAGGCACCGCTTCAGTTGTGAAGATGTTTGTTGTTTTGATATGAAGAGTGAGGACGGAAAAGAATCCAAGTCTTAGTTTAATTTTAATAGTAAGATTGTTACGGCACTTGCAACACAATAAGGTCATACTCATATAAGTGGAGAAGAATAGACTATGTGTTACAAGAGAGTAATGTACACAAAAAAGGAGGAGAGATAAGAACGGCAGATGTTTGATAGTACTGATAGTAAAGAAGGAGCAAACCATACCAGGGCACCCACCAACTACCCACAATCCAAATCTGTCGTACATGACCTCCTGTATAGGTTTTCATTTTTGGTCAATACATAAACCTCTTCAGGAGTGTTAATTGACGTGGCGTACTGGCGTCAATAGCCTAGTGGTTAAGCTACCAGACCTGTCATTGTGAGATTGTGGGTTGGGGAGTTCGAGCTTCGGCTCGGTACAACGTTGCGTTCTTGGGGAAAGGTACTTGACAAGAATTTCTTACTTCCGCTTGGTCCTTTGGAAGATGGACGTTTTACTTTTGAGGTCCCGCTTCTTAAATAACGTTATAGTGTTGAAAAGTGTATTGTTAAACCTATACCATTTCACCAGTTTTCACCTCTTAATTGAAAGGAGTCACTTGTAGATTTGTCCTTTCCACTCATCATCCACTTCTTGTTTGTGACATCTGCTTTTTCAGAGCTGTGGAGAGGTGACATTGTGTCCTTGTGCTTCTCTCTAGAGCTAACTGTTGACACTGTTTGACCTGATTTGTTCAATCAGTATCAGTACTGTATTATTAGCTCAAGTGAAGGCATAGTTTCCATATATCTGAGTATGATTATTCCATTCTCATATGGCCAACTGCAAGAAAGGACAGTTAATGAGCTCTGGTGGCTATAGGGTGAAGTTAAAGAATAACTCCACAAAGTTTTGATAATCTTTCTAAATACTGGTATATATAGATTCTAGTTAATAAAAGAGGGCCTGAAATGGTTAAATTCCTCGAAATATCATTATCAACTGAAACTCCAAGCAGAAGAAACTTTGTTAGAAGTACAACTTGATTCCAAGAAAAACTTTGAAAAAGGCCGATAACTGCCCTAAAGGCATAGGACACTACATTTTTCATTCTTGCGGGGAAATAACATATGGAGGCTTACATAACAGTCCGCTTCTCTGAATAGATCTAACCTACATTCGACATCCCCTGAGACCTAGCAAGGAGCAGTAAAAGAATTTTTAAAAAGACAAGAAAAAAGAACATTCTAAGTTGCCAGCCGACCCTAAACACTAACAGTAACTCTAACACAACAGCAATTGACAGCTGTTTTCACTTTAAAAAGTAGACAGTGGGAAACTGATAGAGGAACAAACTTTAATAAAATGTTCATAGAACAAGGAAAATTCACAATACATGTGTTCATGATAACAACCATCCTCAAACAAAATGTTTCACATGGGTCACAGGTTCAGTTCACAAGAGTCCACAAGCGTTACACCTTTGTCACTCACCCTTGCACGTAAACAAAAGAGGCAGTGAAGAACATGCAAACATACTTTCTTCCCATTTCTTTATATTTTTTATTACATGATCTTTATCATCTCTCTCACTTTCTCTCTCTCATCTCCCTTCTCTCTCTTTCTCTCTCCCCCTCTCCCTCTCTCTCTCTCTTATACACACACTTTTTAAAAACATTTTTGAAACATCTTTTTCATTTTTTCACTTTGCGTATGTACAGGCATATAGTGCATTCATTAATTTTCTTCTCTCTCATTTTTCAATCCTGCAAAATATTGAAACACAGGAAGGTCTACCCAACTAACAGACAAACTCTTGATAGTCATCGCTTAAACTTAAAACAAAGCAACTCAAAAGCATTTCGAGGCAATCATGAAAAAGTAGATCATGTACACAATTCCTTATTTTGGCATTGTAAGTCATGGACATGTATCGCTTCCACTCCTTGGACATTTCCAAACTAGGATTTTATTAATATAATTCTTTATTTACAGCTAAGACATTACTTTATTATTTAAAACTAAAGTGTATTCTTTTTTCTAAGTGATTGAAAATTAATCCCCTCAGCATTCACTGTGAAATAGAACAATCATATTAATAATATTAAAGACACAGTAAAGTTATTTTGAGAACTTTAGTTACACATAGTAGGTACCTACATACTATTTGTCTCCATGAAAAGAATAAACTGGGACCAGAAATTTGTTTTTCATTCTACTTCATAAAGATTTATTCAAGTTTTAATAAAGGGCAGTTCTTCATATCACAGTGCCCTGGATTAAAAATAGGCGTATTTGAACCCCCCCCCCATAAAAAACGATGAGAACAACTCAAAAGTGGAATCCTGAAAATTTATAAAATGGCTGTGTTGCTCTACAAGGTCCTCCGTGGATTCCACGTAGCTTTTAATCATCCTGATAAGATCTCTCGACCATCTCAGCTTGCTGTGGTGTGAGAACTTGAGATGAATGCTCCTCTCGCCATTCAGTCATTCTTTTTTCACCGAGCTCTGCATGTAGTCTGCTTCTCTTCTCTTTTGACTTCTCTATTTCTTTGTTCATTCTGAAAGCAAGAAAAACAGAGTTTTACGCTTTGGAACACAGGTAGGCAGGCTTATTTTCCAACAAACAAAACTGGTTAGGTACATGAATCCTTTTCTCCTCCTACTGCGTTGTAATAACATGAATTGTCAGTGTCATGTGAGTCCCGCAACATTTACTAAAAATATATAAAGTATTGTTGATGTACATACGTACACAGCATGTATTCCCCCATCAGGCAGCTCTGGAGACCTCCATTCTCCATCCATTTCCACTCCCCCCCCCCCCCCCCCCCGCCCCAATTAAAAAAAACCTACAAAACTAAACTCATGGAATTACTGCTTTTATAAAAAAAATACAGTCCAGCTGGTAAGAGTAGTAAATTTCTTTTTAACCCCCTTGAGCCTGAACTATTTTACACTTGAGACTTTTGGGGTATACTGAATTGTCAACCACAAAAAGATTGAAGAAAGCTATTATAATTTTGAAAATGGAACAAGAGAAAGAAAGAAGCGAAATTTTGCATTTGAAAGCCTAGTCTAGATCTAGAACATTTGTTATCAGAATCGGTGCTTTGAAGCTCATTTACATTGAAATGGGGATCCCCATGGTCTAAAATATGATATTTTCTGAACTGTCAAAGTCATGCAAACACTTGAAAAATGTTTGCTTTTCCTCCTGCCAAGTGGGTGGTTGGCGGGTGCTCTGGTGTGATTTGCTCCTTCTTTCTTATCAAAGATCTATCGTCCTGATTTCTCCTCCTTTTTTGTGTTTGTTATTCTCTTGTAACACCTAATCTTCGACCATTGTGTTGCAAGTGCCGTAAAACTTACTAAAACTAAACGCGCTGCCATCGTACTGACAACAAAGGGTTGCGAGAATAGACACCAGTCAGAGAAATGAAAGTAGGGCCTCAGTGTGACCAACTTTCCTTCCGGGTCTATAACTCAAAAATTTTCCAGCCAATTCTGGTGAAACTTTGCACGAAACAAAACAAAGGTTGGCTGCACGATACGAGACAGTTCACGCAGTGTTTGTGCGCGTACAGCGGAACTCGGATTCAATGAGGTCGCCGGGCCTGACCTAAAATCTCAAGAATCTGAGTGTTTGTTACAGCAAACATGATGTTTTGTGTAGATAATTACAGGCTCTGAGCAAGTAATGTATAAAGAGAAGTAACAAGTGGTGCCGGAAATGCCTGCATATTATGAGCTGTGCAAAAAAAGACTGATTCGTTCAAATGCACGCCTGTGTTATCTCGATTGTTTGTCAAAAAGTTGTGTTGCTAGGCTAGGCTTTAAGCCTAGCATACAGCAACTTTAGATTTCATAGACCAGCGCACAATTCATTGTGTAGATCTACGTCAAGACTAGCCTATTATTGTAATACTGATCAGTTGCGGGGTGAAAAAAAGACTGTAACGTGTTTGTATCTGCGACGTTCCACTTGCCCGGACCGGTGGTGCCCCCCGACACACATGCACAGTCACACGTGTGCAGGTCACCCATCTGACCCCAACACATGCGTACCAACAACTCATGTGTTGGTATGAAAGAAGTCCGCTGATTGGTCGCATGCAATCAGCTAGGTGAATAATGGTTTACGATGTAGGTGCAATGGATGGTTTCCGGGAATAGATAAAGCTGGTTGTGGGAAAAAAATGGTCAAAGATACATCTGCGGGGGCTGTTCACCCTGGAAGCAACCTCGTTGAATCCAAGCTTACTGATTTAAGTGCTCGTTAAATCCGGGTTATTTTTATTGATTTTAATGAAGAAAAAAAACGGAATCTATCTCCTCTTAGGTACCACAGACTGAAATTTCAAAGTCCTCTGATTTCATAGTTAACTGCACCACTTTACAGAATTTATTATTCTGAACATTTTGATACCAAATTTATCCATATATATATATAGCTTCATTTTTAATTTTTAACAAAGTTGTGAACATCTCAAGTTGCAGAAAAATGCTTTATTTTACAAACTGCGAAATGTAGGCACTTTGAGATGTCATAACATTCTTAAATTTGAATGGGCATTCACAAAAACTTGTAAACACACACCCGTGCACCTAGAGAACAAACCCAATTATATAACCAGAAGATGGAAATTTATTGACCTAAACATGGCCTTTTGACCAAAATGGCAAGAAATACAAGGGGAAGTTGAAAATCCCCACTCGCAACCAGAGGTTTATCGGCCGTGTGCCAGGCCGCGCCGACGGGAAGGAGAAAGAACTTATACTTATACGAAATTGGACCGATGGCTGCCCTGCTTGCGAGCTGATGGGGAGCGTCCGGTATTTGTTTTCGTATAATGGCAGCGTTACTCTTGAAGAGGAATGAATGGGCTTTCAACCTATATATTTCCAGTCCGATCACTGGTTCCATAAAAAAACAGCATCAAAAGTTTTCACACACAAATCTCTTCTATTAATTCTTTAAGGACAGTCTTTAGAAATTCATCACCGGAAAGAGCATTTTCTCATCTAGAAATATCGACGAATTTTCACGTGTTTTTTCACGTAATTCTGCAACATTTGCATAATTTTGGATTCCCCGCGTTTTTCATGTTTTTTTCCACAAAACAATTAACGCCTCTCCATTTGACTAAAGGGAAGTAATCACTGAAGTTGTTTATTTCCCTTGTTAAAAGATCTTGGTTATGGGTTGGGATTTTGTTCCTTGAGCATGTTCAATTTTTCTTTCCATCAAAAGTTGTTCTCACGTCTGCTGATGTTTCATGTTTGACAGGTGTCCCTGGTTTCAGAGGTCCAGATGTCCTTTTTTTTTCCTACATTTTTCTTTCCTCTATAGATCTAGATCTACAGCTGAAAGTTACAGAGATTAGATTCCATATTTTTTTATTTATTTTTTTCTGACTGATGTGTATTGTTTTCTTTCCAAATACACAACAAATTACTGATACTGATATGTTCTGTTTTCAATTTTTCTGTACATAAAACATGAAAATCATGAAAATTCGTGTTGAAAAAGTGCAAAACATGTCGTGAATGGTGTTACGGTAACTTGCATAATTTTTGCATAATTTTGCTTTTTTTGGGGGCATAATTTGGCCATCTAAATTTGCATAATTCTACGGGGACAGATTTAATACCATACGCTCTCCGTTCCTTTTCAACCGAGGTCACTCAAAAAATCGATGCCCGAAAAGCGCGGTCCCTGCAGTGAAAACTGCGATAGTGTTGTCTTTTATCCCCCAAGATGTTGCTTTCAAAAGAATCGTTGATTCAAATAAATAATACCACTAAAAAGAAGAAAAGCTCCTCTTTCATCTGATATATCAAGTGTCTGTGTGTATGCATGATCACATAGTGTTTTAGGGGGGTAAAAATATGGGTTTTGGTTTCCGTGACCGTGCGCCATGGGGGCACACGGCCAGTTCGCGGTACCTTCTCCTCTTGTTGAATCTGAGTTCTCGTTGAATCTGAGCTCGTTGCATCCGAGTTCCACTGTACTTTGCCGAGGACAAAATGCGAAACTTGTGCTTGAAGGGGGTGCGTGAACCGCCTCTCCAGGAAATATTGGTGCTTGCAAATGCAGCGTAACCGTCTCCAGTGAGTTCAACCAGTTGTGAGGATGGTTATTATACGATGCAAGCATGTATTAGAAACTTTTAAAAATATTTATATCATATAAAAAAACTATGAAGCACAAAGCTTTTACTTGCAATCAAGGCAACCAGCACTTGTAGATGTGTATTGGCAAAATTAGTTACACATCCAGTCATTTATGCAGTTGCAAGCACCGTAAAACCTCTACTAAAACAAACATCCAGACAATACTACAGGCAGTGCTGATAATGAGAAAAAGTCAAAAAAGAGGAAAATATTTCGACCCCATTGCAATCCTGAAATTTCAACATAGAACCCTAATACTAACTACGATAATGTAACACATACCTTTAATTTAAACTTTTGTAGTGATATTTTGGAAACAACAATTATCGGCACCCTGATTTACTTGCCTGCGACTCTCTGCTATGGCCCTTGCTATAAAGCTGTCCCTTTTCTCTGTGTCCAGATTATCACCTGTTTTCGAATTTTTCTGGGAAATGAAAAAGAAAAAGAATAATAAAACTTTGCTCACACTACTTACTCCTACAGCATGTCTTCCTATGTAGGAGATCATGTTTCATTGAATACTCATAAATACAAACATTGTCAGTAGCTGACTGACTAGCCGAAATCAAGGGTTCATGAGGACATCTCAGAATATTTGTGTTCCATAGTGATTGGCATGTCGGAAGGGGGGGGAGAATCAAGTGCTGTTGTTTTCACTCTTAGAACAGGATCAAGTAAGAGGCCGTAATTCCCGTGCAACAAGCTGGTATGTGATGAGAACAATGTGAACAGGGCAAGTGTTTTACTATTCATTTCGTTTATCCTCCACTAGAGTAGATAGGCGCATTTCGCTTATTCCCCACTAGAGTAGATAAGGTGTTATATATTTTGGCCTACAAAAGATCACGAGCCTCTTTAGATAAAACCCTCCCCATTGCACCCTTTCAATACTAACTCTCATCCTCACTATCCACAACTGTCCGTCGCTCACATTCATTTCAGTAAGGGCCAATGCATAAACATAGTCAATAAGGGGGAAACTGAAAAGTCAGACGATTTTACATGTAGCATGTAGGGTTGAACTGGGAAGGGCTGAATTGCTAGGAAGAATAGGGGGGGCTTCCCCTGGGTAAAGTGGTTTCATCGTATTGTGATGACTCCACTTACCCTCGGACGGTTAGTCTTCTTACAGGTCAACCCACAAGTCAAAGGAATACATGCCGCATTGTATGCAGACGACCTGGTTCTTTGGTGCTCTGAGGAATTCGTCACTACTGCCACTTATCGCATGCAACTAGCATTGGACAAACTCACTACATGGAAAAAACCTGGTGTGTAACCGTAAACAAAGAAAAGTCTTCTGCTACACTCTTCACTCTCAGCCAGGCTGAGCCAAAACACCTCACATAAGACAAAACCCCCCCTAAAGTTTGAGAATCAACAGAAGTATCTTGGAATAATCTTTGACAAGCGTCTCACATGGAAACAACACATTCAAAATGCAGAAAATAAAGCCAGGAAGAAACTTAACATCATGAGAAAACTAGCAGGAACTCAGTGGGGAGCAAACGAGAAAACACTTAGAAAAGTCTATCTAGGCGCAATCAGGCCCCATCACGAGTACGGATCCAGTGCATGGATGACTGCAGCACAGACTCACAAATACACTCTGGAAAAAGTGCAAAACCAGGTTCTCCGAATAATCACTGGAGCAATGAGGTCAACGCCTATAGAAAAGATGGAACAAACATCAAAAGTGGCCCTGCAGAGGAGATGGGAATGCAAGGCTCTCATACAGTACACCAAGGCCACAGCTATGGAGGATCATATACAGTGGAACTCGGATTCAATGAGGTCGCCGGGCCTGACCTAAAATCTCGTTGAATCTGAGTGTTCGTTATAGCAAACACGAGATTTTGTGCAGTTAATTACTGGCACTGAGCAAGTAATGTATAAAGAGAAGTAACAAGTAGTGCCTGAAATGCCTGCATATTATGAGCTGTGTAAAAAAAGACCGATTCGTTCAAATGCACACTCCCGTGTCATCTCGATTGTTTACCAAAAAAGTTGTGTTGCTGTGTAGAGCCTAGCATACGGTAACTTTTGATTCCATAGACCAGCGCACAATTCATTACGTAGATCTACATCAAGACTAGTTTATCATTGTAATAGTGATCAGTTGCCGAGGGGGGAAAATAGACTGACGCGTTTGTATCTGCGACGTTCAACACACGGACCGCTACTGCGCCTCTCCGCCCCCCTCCCCGACACGCACACACAGCAACACGTGTGCAGGCTGCCCATCAGATCCCAACACACACTAGAGTAGACATGTGCGCATGCCAACAATACATGAGTTGGTATGAAAATATTGAAAAAAGGCCGCTGATTGGTCGCATGCAATCGGCTAAGCGAATAATGGTTCACGGTGGATGGTATCCGGGAATAGATAAAGTTCGTTCTGGGAGAAAAACGAGCAAAACCACGTCTGCGGGGGCTGTTCACCCTGGAAGTGACCTCATTGAATCCGAGCTCGCTGAATTAAGTGCTCGTTGAATCCGGGTTATTTTTATTGATTTTAAAGAAGAAAAAAAAACGGGGAATCCATCTCATCTTGTTGAATCCGAGTTCTCGTTGAATCTGAGCTCTTTGAATCAGAGTTCCACTGTACTGCACACAAGAACAGCCAGATCTAACACCACAAGACTTAAAAGATCCAACTTCATCAAAGAAAGCAGAAAAATCCAAAGATCCCTACAGGACCATCTACCAGCCACAGTGAACATGCTGAACCATACCCCAGAGGCACATCATGGGAAAAGAAAAACACAAACATAGTTATACACACGTCCATTCCTATGTTCACCACATAAGATGACCACAGCGACCTAAGCAAGAAGTCCCTCACCCTGTCCATGCTTGAACAAAGATACCCACGAGAAGCATGGATAAGGATCTATACAGACGGATCTGCCACTAATGCTGTGAAAAGAGGAGGAGCCGGAGCGTACGTACAGTTCCCAAATGGATGACGACAAGCAGAGGCAGTCCCAACAGGGCGACATTGTACAAACTACAGGACTACAGGGCAAAGACGGAGGCCCTAATACATGCAGCAAACATCATCAAGAATGTGGTAGACCCCCAAAGCCAAGTAGTATTCCTAACAGATGCCATGTCAGTACTGCAGGCAATCACTTCCGGCAAACTACCAAGGCTACGTAAAGTAATTGAGGACATCCCATGTCTGAGGATCATGCTGCAGTGGATTCCATCACACTGTGGCGTCTTAGGAAATGAGCAGGCAGACAGGATGGCCAAACTAGGAGCACAGAAAGAGCAACCAGACAACAGCGTTAACTACACAGAAATAAAAACTATTACACTATTTAAAGCACCTCAGACACCAGATGGCTACCATGAGCTGTCCCGCCAAGAACAAGTGATTATCTTCAGACTAAGGACACAACACATAAGACTGAGACAACATATGTACAAATGTTTTAAACTAGTACAGTCACCAAAATGCCAGTGTGGAGAGGCGGACCAAACTGTTGAACACATCCTTCAGCACTGCAAGACACACAGGGCCCTGAGACAGGAAACATGGCCAACCCCATTGACGCTACAAGAGAAGCTATACGGGCCGATAGATGAACTGAGCAGGATGGCCCAAATAATGACAGATACCAGACTTCAAGTGTGATGCGATTGAGAAGAAGAAGCAGAATCCACAAGTCATGGTACTTATCATTCTGGATAAACGATACGGTTAAAAATAATTCTAAAAATCCCTTGCATCCAAGAGAAAAAAGTATGCTGAACAGGCTAATGTACAACTCAAATCAATTTAAGTGTACAAATATTAAGAAAAGATTGAAAATATAAATGCAAACACAAAAGCAGAACCCCAAACCAAACAAAATTGTACCTCTGTCTATATGCCTTTGTCTACTCATCTTGTCCCAGTTGTTTGGGGACTAATATTAACAATGTCATCACCATGTAGTATGAGACTTCGTGCAAACTTTCAGAACTTTCAGTGAGACTGTAAATACTGTTGTGGACACAAGTAATGAGATTTACTCGGGGCACGGATTCTCGTGTGGAGGAACACGGAGATCTCATACTGACAGGGGATCCCATGTAGGATAGTTCACGAGAAGTTTATATAATCAGTCAATCACGGCCTTCAGTGGGACAATCGGACGAGAAAGAGTAGGGAACAGAGCCTTGGTCTACTCACAGTAGGAAATATACAAAGTAGTACATTTATTGAAATTAAAATACTCATCATCCACGGTAAGAGTTTTCGCTTATCATTTTTATAATGTTGTTTAACTTTGTGGTGTAGTGCTGTGTTCTGCATCATGGTGCCGAAACCCGGGATTGAACCAGGGACCTTTAGATGGCCTAAGGCCCACCCAAAAAAGGTATGTTATCAATTTCTGTGTCATAATGACACTTTTCTTTCAGATAGCCTAGTCAGGAAGTTCTGGGAACTGGATGCTGTTGGGGTTACAGACCTTCCTGAAAGGACACATGACACTGTACTCGAAGAGTTCAAACATGTGAGGCTCGTGGGTGCCTACTCTCATGTATGGCTCGTTGGTACATGCTCTCACTCTCAGGTGTGGCTCGTTGGTACGTGCTCTCACTTTCATGAGTGGCTCATTGGTACATACTCTCATGTGTGGCTCGTTGGTACATGCTCACAGGTGTGGCTTGTTGGTACATGCTCTCACTCTCATGTGTGGGTCTTTGGTACATACTCTCATGTATGGCTCGTTGGTACATACTCTCATGTGTGGCTCGTTGGTACATGCTCTCACTCTCAGGTGTGGCTCTTTGGTACATACTCTCATGTGTGGCTCGTTGGTACATGCTCTTACTCTCATGTATGGCTCATGGGTACATACTCTCATGTGTGGCTCGTTAGTATGTGCTCTCACTCTCATGTACGGCTCGTTGGTACATACTCTCATGTATGGCTTGTTGGTACATACTCTCATATATGGCTCGTTGGTACATACTCTCATATATGGCTCGTTAGTATGTGCTCTCACTCTCATGTGTGGCTCGCTGGTACATACTCTCATGTATGGCTCGTTGGTACATACTCTCATGTGTGGCTCGTTGGTACATACTCTCACTCTTCATGGGTGGCTCATTGGTACATGCTCTCATGTATTGCTCGTTGGTACGTGCTCTCAAGTGAGGCTCGTTGGTACATGCTCTCATGTATGGCTCGTTGGTACATACTCTCATGTATGGCTCGTTTGTACATACTCTCATGTATGGCTTGTTGGTACATGCTCTCATGTGTGGCTCGTTGGTACATTCTCTCATGTGTGGCTCGTTGGTACATGCTCTCACTCTCATGTGTGGCTCGTTGGTACATGCTCTCATGTGTGGCTCGTTGGTACATACTCTCATGTGTGACTCGTTGGTGAAAGGTCAGCTGCTGAACAACAAGCCGTTGGCTCAGATTCGCCTGAGCAGTTTGACTCGCAAACTGGCACGTGATCCAGAACTTGCTGGTAGGTATGATTATGTTTTATCAAATCTTGAGAGATCAGGAATCACCAAAGAAGTTACTCCAGAAAAATAACTACTCTCCCATGACCATCCTGTTTATTACAAGCCCCACAGGCCAGTTGTGAGGGAATCAAGTTCAACAACTAAGGTAAGCTCCCCATGGTGGGGAGGCTTCTGGGAGAGGATGGTTTGTAGTAATAAATCAATTCTGAGAAAGCTCTAAGGGTACTGAAATAGGTACAAGGAAAGAAAGGGGACACTCAGGTAAATCAGTTGTCACTAAAGCAGGACAAACTGCTTGTCCTACATCTATTTTGGACTTGTAATTCTATCGTTTTCTTAAATACGACTTTCTGTTTTTGAATGGTTCATTCTTCATATTGCATTTTCAGCATATTTATATATGCAACACGGTAGACCTTGATGGTAATTTCTTATTTGCTTTGTGTTGTAAGTTTCAGCCGAAATTGCTCTCCCATCTCATCGTCATAATCACTGACAACATTCGAGTCAGAGATTTCCATTGGGTCCTCGGTTACTGCTATTTACTTTAAATCAGTAAGGGACATGCTTAAAATAGCATGCAAATGTTATTCAGGAGGGTCTGGTAACAAGGAAAGTATACTGACTTTGTCAGCAATTAATGTTTCTTCTATCTCCTAACTAAGTGCAGTTGTGTTCTGTATTTCAGTAACATGCTCATTTGAAAAGTAATGTTATTGCTTGTCACAGGTATTCAGGCATTTATGATTGGTTCATTATTGTTATAATGTTTAGTTTAGCCGACAGTCTTCCGGGATAAAAATAGACGAGGCGGAGTGAATGTATTTGAATGGCAGTGCTTTGTTGATGTTAAGGTGAGAGTCACTGCATTTAATTCAGTCCATGTATTATAATAATTTGATGCACACCATTGTGGTGGATTTATCCTTTGCATTGTGGGTTGACCTTGGCTGGTGTCGTTACATGATTTGCCCTATAATTATTTCACGTTTCTTTGTTGGACTCAGTAGTTCGTAGTCCAAGGTGGGGAGTATGTTGGGGACACAAGTAACGAGATTTCCTCAGGGTGCGGGTTCCCGTGCGGAGTGACACAGATATCTCGTGTGGGGAGGGGATCATGCATAGAAGAGTTCAGGGAAGTGTATATAATCAGTCAGTCACGGCTTTCTGCGGGACAATCGGGACAATCTGACGAGAGAGAGTAGGGGACAGAGCCTTGGTCGACTCACTGCAGGAAACATACAATGTACTACATTTATTGAAATTAAATACTCAACTACCACGGTAAGAGTTTTCGTTTATCATTTTATAATGTCGTCTTAATTTGTGGTGTAGTGCTGTGTTCTGCAACACACCCGACAAAGTTCATTCAGAGACTCTCTATGCCTCTCATATGTGTGACTGACCCATTGCACTTTAACAATTTTTACTTAGGAACACAATTCACTGATTGCCAGTCACTGCAAAGTGCTGGAAAAACAAAATTCACATCATTAGAAAATATGATTTGATGGCTATCACACAGCGCAAACAGAAATAAACACCAATGTTTCATTTTGAAATGATTTGTTATTAAATTTGAAGAGATCACATTATTAACGGCGCTTCCGATCACTTAACCCTCATCCTGCGGGAGCCGGGTTTATGTAGCCCGATAAGCCTATTTCGGCACCTCGTCTACGTTCTGGTCCTGAATCAGTGTAGCTCCTGGCTCAGCGCACGTGCAGCGCGCATCCTCTTACGTGTCATTCGGGTCCCGAGTTGGATCCCCATTCACGCAGGTTAAGTGTGTGTGCGTCAGTCTGCTTGAGTTTGTGTGCGTTTGTGGCCTTCTTCTAGAACCGCCTGCATTGGTTCGTAATCGAGAGATACGTCTCATTCAAAACATGTCAAGTTGGTAGCTCTAGATGTTCGTCCAATGAAATTATAGAAGAAATTGACCCACTTAGACATGAGGAGCTCGAAAGTATAGTCAGGAAACAAGACTTCCATTTTTCTATACAAAATATTTCAAATGAGCTTGATTTTGTATGAAATGATACTACCTGATAAAACATAAGCTTGTTTGGTAGTTTTGAATACCATTGTGCAGGTACAAAGAACGATTTGAGTGTAAAACATTCGGATATTGACCTAAATTATCCCCTTTTGAACTTCAGGTCATTCATAACAACAAGAGCGTCCAGAAAGGTTATTCGAATGGGCGTAACTACTCGTAGTGTCTTTTCAGCTTGTGAGAGGGGGTTATTCATGTGTTTGTAACACTTTATAAATAGAAAACTATGAAAGATAGAGCGCTATTTTCATCATCGGTTAACACACTCCCGCGGTATTCATGGCGAAAACACGCGTTTCCCGGCGCGCGCTGTACACCAACAGCACACACAGAGTGACCCCGGCGGCCTGCCCGGCATGTCCGACGTAATCGGTTGCTGATAAGATACGCATCTGGGCACAGACGCAGGATAAGAGTTAACACTCACAATTCAAAACTGTTATTATTCCCAAACAAATCAGTGAAAACTGTTGAAGCTTTCACAAGATACCAAGAAGACGTAGACGAAGCGAAATTGGTGAAGAAATAGATTCTAGGGGTAGAGTGAGCATCATTTTACGGCTCATGAAATTAGGGGTAGAAACGCGTTCTGATAAGGACAAGATAGGACAGCGCTGTGCACGAGTTGACCCTGGTCAATCCCCGACCTGACGCATGAAATTGCAGGTCACCTGCCGGTGATTTATGACCTACCGCGCGGGGGGCCCGGACTAACTAAAAGATCGCTGAGACGGAATTTTGAAAAGTAAATTAATTTGGTCGTCTACAAAGATGCTATGGCTATTTAACTTTTCGAATCGAGCTGAACTACGTGAGTCGGCATTTTGTTTTGCCCGGAAGTTCTTGTGCTACTCCTCTCTCTTTCTTTCTCTCTCTCTCTCCACTGCCCACAGACAAAATAACTTATAAGCAACGCTTTTTTAGGTAAACAGTAGAAACACAAGAGCGCTGGAACGTTTGTTCACGCCACAGAATTCTACAATTCTGTTATCACAGTGTAGAATTCTGTGGTTCAGGGTAAACACTGGTTGGCCTAGGCTATAAAGGTGAATGCACACCGGGTGAGAATAGCCAAAAGCCTAACGTAGTTTAGCCCAAAGGCTCGCCTGCGCTATCTATTGAGAATAGAGGTGGCCATAAAAAAAAGGAAGTGGCTATTCTCATCCGGGGTGAGAATAGAAATACGATCGACCTCTCACCCCGGGTGAGACTTGCGACCGTAGGCTATTCTCACCCGGTTTGAAACAAGACCTGTTTTTCCTAATTTCGGAATACTTTGTATCGATGTGGATGATCAAATTGATAAAGGCCAAGAAAAAATTACGTTATAGCACAAAAGTAAGCCAATTTGATCGTCTTCAAAGATGCTATGGCTATTTTATTGTTCGAATCGAGCCGAACTACGTGGGTCGCCATTTTGTTTTGCCCGGAAGTTCTCGCAAGATCTACTCCTCCCCTCTCTCTCTCTCTCTCTCTTTCTGAATACTGTCTATCGGTGTGGACGATCAAATTGACCAAAACAAAGTTAAAAAATGATGTTAAAACCCAAAAGTAAATTAATTTGGTTGTCTACAAAGATGCTACGGCTATTTAACTTTTCGAATCGAGCCGAACTACGCGGGTCGCCATTTTGTTTTGCCCGGAAATTCTCGCGCTACTCCTCTCTCTCTCTCCACTGCCCACAGACAAAATTGTACGCTTTTAGTAGGCTACAGTTGTAATGGAACGTTTGTTCACGGCACAGAATTCTACAATTTTTCTGTTATCACAGTGCAGAATTATGTGGTTTAGGGTGAACGCAAAATTTGGTGAACGCGCACCGGGTGAGAATAGCCACAAGACTCGCCTGCACTATTCTCACTCCGGGTGAGAATAGAGGTGGCCTAAAAAAAACCGAAGTGGCTAGCCGTACTTAAGTACGGCTAGACTGAGAGTCTAGCCGTACTTAAGTACGGCTAGACTGCCAGTCTAGCCGTACTTAGATCTAGGTTTGGCCCAATCGACTCAATCCTGTTAAGTACACAGGTCTCATGAGATCTAGATCTAGTTATTATTCAGGTTCAAATACATGCAAGTCAGTAAGGCACCTTTTTGTTTTGTCTGAAATACAAATACTTTAGGCATTGCAAACTAAAATTTTCATTTACAATTCAGCCATCAATATTAAGTACGGCTAGACTGACAGTCTAGCCGTCCTTAAGTACGGCTAGCCTGGCTGTCTACCCGTACTTAAGTACGGCTAGCAAGAAGTCTAGCCGTACTTAAGTACGGCTAGACTGCCAGTTTAGCCGTACTTATCTTAGGCCCTATTTACATTAGAAAACAGGAGGTTTAAAATACATGCATTGTCATTAAGGAACCTGGTTTTGTCTCAAATACAAATACTTTAGGTACTGCACACTAAAAATGTATATTTACAATTCAGTAGGCCTATTTTTTGTAAATGGTCAGTCTAGCCATCATATTCTTACAGTCTAGCCGTCATTAAGTACGGCTAGCCTCTTCCAAAAAAAAATGGGAAGCAGTAGAAAACGTTGACCCAAGCCCAATGAATGGCATGAAAGCATGTACAGCTATCCCAACCTCTTGGTCCTCGATTTGCGACTTGATAAAGCCTTCCAAGTTTGATGGCGGTCCATCAGTTGAATATTGACTGTTTTCTTCGCCGTTAATTTTGTCCGCCATCTTTCAACAATGTGAATGCGAGGCTGTTGCTATGTTTTCCTAAAATATGAAACTGACGGTGGAATTTCATGAAACAAAATAAATTAGTACTTAGAGTGATGATAGATTGATGCAGTGACATTCCTGTCACACTTCTGTTCAAAGGGTGGTGATTTTGTTTTAACTGAACACTAGAATCTATTTGGTAACAGCTAAACATTTTTGGGGGCTTCTTTAAGACAAGACAAGCTGAAGAGATACATTTGAAGCGAATACAAGGAGGACAGAGGTCCTTGAGCGAATCAACACAACTAGATCTAGCCTAGGCTACCTTGACCTTGCTGGGGGGGAAAGCTACGAGTTGCTAAAATTAGGTGAACCATGAACGAACACAAATCGACAACAGCAACACACAAGCAGTGCTGAGGAATCTGAGCGGGCATTGTTTGTTGTCCCAAATTCAGATTCTTGATTATCATCGTCTTGTTCGAAAACAATTGCTTTCTTTCATCAACAATCAATGGAAGCAAGTCCAAATCTTTGTTGAGCGTAAGTAGGACAAGGCGAGCACACTTTTTACGCTTTGTGGCCTAGGCCTACGCAGTAAATGGCCCTTTCGCCGTTTGTGTTGTTTGTGTAATTGAGTTTCAATGTTTGCACGACAGAAGGCATCCGTGGCCTATTTTTTGCTCATTTCGCCTATGAGTCATTGCTGGGTGCAACGTATGTTAAAATACTGCCAATATTGTTATTGATAGTTCATTTGCAGCTTTTAGAGATGGCAGGACCTGAGCTATGCTATTTGTATTTGGTAGCATCAATTGCCACCGAGTTAACCCGGTGGCAATTGACAAAAATAGACTTTTTGTCAATTGCCACCGAGTGAAACGGTGTCAAGTCTGAAAAACAACACTATCTTTAGCATTATACATAATGTGTGTCTAATGGGTCAATTTGTTCTCAACTAGATCTAGATCTAGATCTAATTTCATTGGACGAGCATCTACTAGATCTAGATCTAATCTAGACAATCTAGAGCTTCGGTACCAGCTTGGCGTGTTTTCAATGAGACGTAGGCCTAGGTCTAGGCTAGCCTTAGCCTACACTTTGGCTTTGGTGTTGAACCAACACAGGCAATTCTAGAAGTAGAAGGTTACAAACGCACACAAACTCAAGCAGAAATTCACGTTATATCGGGGAACATAAATCGGGGGACGGGGGTCAGGAAAAGACACACACACACACACACACACAGAGGGACAGAGAGGCGAACGCACAACACCGAGCGCTCTAGCACAATAAGCTAGATCTACCCACCAACGCAAAAGAGCTCCAATTTATTCTCTCTCTCTCTTTCCACTGCCCACAGACAAAATTGTACGCTTTTAGTAGGCGCTACAGTTGTAATGGAACGTTTGTTCACGGCACAGAATTCTACAATTTTTCTGTTATCACGGTGTAGAATTCTACGCAAAATTTGTTGGCCTAGATCTAGGCTATAACGGTGAACGTGCACTGGGTGAGAATAGCCAAAAGACTCGCCTGCACTATTCTCACCCCGGGTGAGAATAGAGGTGGCCATTTGTATTTTGTTGACTTGCTGCATTCTGAAAGCTAGATTTCTAGGCCTACCATGCTATTTGAAGGCAACACTAGATATCTAGATGTAGAATCTAGATTAGATCTAGTAGCCATCGTTTCTACATATATTATATAATAATATGGCCGGCACCATTTCTCCGAACGTTCGGGAAACGAAGTGATTATTCGGACTCGAGTCTGAATATGAAAAAATGTTATTCGGACTCTGATTCTTGTCCAGCATGACATCACTTCCGACTTCCTGTGACTCGTGAATCCGGCTTCCTGTCCTGCCTCACTCGTGACTCGCCTCAGGCTGGGTAGAGACCGGGATCACTTCGGGCAAAAAGGCGTTTTGTGCAGGAGCCGAGTTTTAATCTTATGATGAATTTGAGGCCGGCCTGTAAAGTTATAGTGCTTCTAATAAATGTTTATATCAAGAGGTCATCAGAAGCAATTAAAGATGGCTCGTTAGCATGTGTCGGGGTCGGATGGGCGGCCTGCACACGTGTGGCTGTGTGCGTGTCGGGGAGGGTGGTGGGGGGGCACTATCGGTCCGGGCTTTGAACGTCGCATAAGCGTCGGTCTTTTTCCCCCCGGCAACTGATCATTATTACAATAATAAGCTAGTCTTGACGTAGATTTACGTAATGAATTGTGTGCTGGTCTATGGAATCAAAAGTTGCCGTATGCTCAGCTCTATAGCAACACAACTTTTTCTTGGTAAACAATCGATATGACTCAAGCTTGTGTATTTGAACGAATCGATCTTTTTTTTTTTTTTATACAGCTCATAATATGCCAGGTGGTCTGCTATTCTTCAATTTTACCTTTTTTTACAACAAAGAAAGTGGGAAACGTGGGGGGGGGGGGGGGGGGGGAGGCGTATCAATGAGGCGGCGGTCATTGGATCGGCAGATAAGGTGTAGGGGAAATTAAAAAATGGCGGAAAATTGGAAGCACTGAACGTTAGATCCAGGGTTGGGTTGATTTAAATCAGTTGATTTTTAAAATTTAAATCAACTTGATTTTTTAAATAAAAATCAGTGATTTAAATCACTTTTTAAAAAATTTACTTTTTATTCAGTTTTTACACATTTCAACATTCAGAATTCCTTTCCTTGGTTTCATATATAAAACAGATATAAGGTTTAGTAGACTAATATAATCATGCTTAAAAGTCTGCTTTCCCCCCTTTCACTGTAAAAATAGTAAAATAATACAGTATTCAATTTACTTTTTTTTCCATAATTGAAATCAGAGCTGGGTTGATTTAAATCAGTTGATTTTTTTATTTTAATCAACTTGATTTTTTAAATAAAAATCAATGATTTAAATCACTTTTCAAAATTTTTTTGTCAGTTTTTACATATTTAAACATTCAGAATTCCTTTCCGTGGTTTTATTAAACGATATAAGGTTTAGTAGACTAATATAATCATACTTAAAAGTCGTCTTTCCCCCAGTCACTGTAAAATAATACAGTTCTCAATTTACTTTTTTTCATAATTGAAAACCAGGGTTGGGTTGATTTAAATCAGGTTGATCTAAATCAGTTGATTTTTAAAATTTAAATCAACTTGATTTTAAAAATAGAACTCAGTGATTTAAATCACTTTTTAAAAATGTATTCTGTTTTTACATCTTTAAACATTCAGAATTCCTTTCCTTTGTTTTATAAAACAGATAAAAGGTTTAGTAGACTAAAATAATCATGCTTAAAAGTCTGCTTTCCCCCCTGTCACTGTAAGTAGTAAAATAATACTGTATTCAATTTACTTTTTTTTCATAATTGAAATTAGTATTTACTTTTTCTTTTTAGACAAACACAAGCGCGTGCACACACACACACTGTAATAAAATGCAAGTTTATCTATTCATAATTACCCCCCCCCCCCCCTTTAGACTGACATTTTCTTCATTTTTTGTTTGCAGCCATAACTCACTGATGTATCAGATTAAGGCTTTCTAATCATTAGTTAAAATAAAGACAATGCATTTTGCACTAAAAGAACTTACTTTAAGCCTCCAGAAATCCCAAACTGTGACGACATTTTTAAAAAATAAAAAAAATTTAAAAAATCCGATTTAAATTTAAAAAATCTGATTTAAATTTAAAAAATCGATTTTTTAAATTTTTATTTAAAAAATTTAAAAAATCACCAACCCTGGTTAGATGTATAGAACGAGTACACTTCCTTTTTTCGGGACCCGAGTCCGAATAACGACGGCCTTCGGGAAAATAAAGCTGGGCACTATTTCTCCGAACGTTCGGGAAAATAAAGCTGGGTACTATTTCTCAGAACACTCTGAAATCACTTCCTTTCCCCTCAAATTTCAGGTAGATATATAATATATATTATATAGATTTTTTATTATATTATCGAAGTGGCAGTACGGCTAGCCTGAGAGTCTAGCCGTACTTAATTAGGCCCTATTGTACTATTAACATTAGAAAACAGGTCTCATTAGTCATTATTCAGGTTTAAAATACATTATGCATGCACTGACATATGATTAAGGCACCTGGTTTCGTCTCAAATACAAATTCTTTAGGTACTGCAAACTAAAAAATTATTTACAATTCAGTGGCCTTTTTTGGGGGGTCAGTCTAGCCAACATATTAAAAATAAGTACGGCTAGCCCAGCTGTCTAGACGTACTTAGCCAACCAGTCTAGCCGTACTTAAGTACGGCTAGACTAGCAGTCTAGCTGTCATTAAGTACGGCTAGCCTCTTCCTTATATTATAGGCCTACCAAAGATTGTTCGTATACAGTATGGTTCAATCGGTTCTAAAAAATGTCCGCAGTAAATATTTATGTAAAGAAATGCTAGTTCCAAACAGTGTTTCGCTACAGATATGACGTGTTGCCAATGAAGAATGCTGCTGCACTCTTAAACTTAATGTGTTGTGTTCACTTGTGTGCTGTCTAGATCTAGATCTATGGAGGGTTATTGATAACGACACGTAGAACTAGCATCTGCGCTTGTCGTGGCCGCAACCAATCAATCATGGCTAGATTTTTTGGCATTTTTTTGGTCCCCGAATCCGAGAATAAAAGTCAAAGAAAAAAAAAAGAAACCGAACCTTTTTACTTTTGAAAGAAAGTTCACTTAGCTTCCCTTCGTCTCTTTCTCACTTGTTGTGGCCACATTGACTTGTTGAATACATTACAGTTACATACGATTTGTATTGCTGTTCCTCTTTTATTTTTTCCTCTTTGTGGTGTTTTATTTTGTTGGTGTGTAATTTTTTTTTCTTGTTATTGTTCTGATGTGTTGTTTTTCTTTTAATTTTTTTTTGTTGGGGAAAAAAGGGGGGGGGGGGTGTTGTATACTGTAACGTCATTCAATTTGATGTTCCTACCTTCATTAGATTATATACATGTATATGTATAGATTTAAATGTGTTATGTTAGAGCGTTCCATCAAAACCGATTACATGTACTGACACTGGCAGGCCCCTTGTGTGTGATTCCATAATTTACATGTAATATCCTGTTACTTTTTTTAAAATTACGCACATTTAGGGTTAAAACAGCCAATCTTCTTCGGACAGGTGGACACACACCCTTATTTGTTAATTTTTGTGGTTGTTTATGAGCTGTTCTAATTTTGATTTCATTCTGTTGTGAAACCTTTCTTTTTCACGTTTTTACACTCATCTAAAAATCCCCTTCTTGTTCCCGTCACATTAACTCTTAATCTTATCAGCCAGAAATAATTTCAAGAATTTTCCTGAACAGCTGGAATTAAATCTTTTTTATCACCTGTGCTGTCATGTTAATTTTTGTATGATCACAAACAATTTTGGATTTAGATGATCTTCTCATTTACCATTCCAAAAAATGAATCTGCGACATTAGGGAATCTTGGATAAAATGAGATTGAATGCAGACAAAGCAGGTGTGTGTTTTAGAGGGATTTGAGTAACAGTTTTGAGTGGGAAAATGACTTGGGACTCTAGATCTAGATCAAAATTTGTGGGTGATACAACTGTACAACACTGCAAAGGGCTGGCCGGCCGACAACGCCTAACCCTAACCCTTGTAGATCTATAGTTTGCTCAGTAGACCATGTCGCGAAGTGTGAGCCTTCTGCGGAACTCGTCTTGAAAAATACGCCTTCAAGTTGCCAATTCTTACTAAGAACGGGAAATATGATATGTGAGGCATTGTGGTGAAATCAGGCTCTCGTCAAAATGGTGAAATCAAAGAAATTGGTATTGTTCTGATGGTTGGGCTATTTTTTTCAATTTTTTTTTTTCCTCAACACCTTTTATATCCATTCAAAAACACAATTTCTGTGTAGATTTTACTTTAAAAAATGTCAATTTTCAGTTTCCAAGAAGGACTCTCAAGCTATGGAAATTATTAAAAAATTGGTGGCCATTTTCTCGCTAACTCCACCTCCGAAACCAGGTGACCCTGACCTCTTTTAATCGCAAATATATTTCGACTTATATTCAATATAGATGGAATTTTTTTACCAAAGGTAAAGCAAATGAGCAGGCTTTAAGATCATACCAATAACACCATATGCCCAAAAATTGACAAGTGCCTGATTCCACCACTTCGTTACACATATCTATTTTTTATCTTGACTGGTACTAGTATTGTAAACATGGATCTGGAGCACTGGACGGAAATTTAGGGAGGTGAAAATGACTCGCTCTGTGTCGTTCTGGTGGATGGGGAAAAAAGTTTACAAAAACTACACGGAGCATGTCATTCTGGCCGATAAGAGTTTTAAAAGTAAGAGTTGATAGAGGGGAAGGTTGCATTTCCATCGTCATCTTTTGTGTGATATATATGCTTTGGTTAGGACGGAGTTACTGTGCTGTTGTGTCAATAGATGGCACATATGTGTCATAATCATGACACAGTTAAGTCAGGCGCTCGTCCAATTTTGGGCATGTGGAGTTTTTTGTATCATCTTACAAAGCTTGTTCATTTTGATGAGAAAAAAAAAAGTACTCGTTATTTTAAAAAGAAGTTAAGATATTTTCGAATGATTGTGGGGGGGTTGCATGGTTTCAGAGGCAAAATTAGCAAGAAAATGGCTGTCAAAGTTAGGGGACTGTAAGTTTATATTTTTAGTGCCTTTAATCAACGTTTTTCCATAACATCTACATAGAATTTGAAATGGATATAAAACTGAAATTTGTGTCAAACAGATCAGATAAAAATGGAACAGGAAAAGTGCTCCAGCGTATCTGAACATGAGATAGATGAAAGTAAAATATACCTGCAAGCGCCCTAAATTAATTTCAGCCTGTGACTATGCGTACGGCCCTCTAAAGTATAGATTTAGGTTTAATTTAGTGTACTCGCAGCCTTGATAATCGCTCTAGGCCTACTTGGATCTGTGTTATTATGTATTCTAATTCTACCGTCCGTCAGCCATTGTTTATTTTCTTCTTGAAAGGTTTTAAGTGAGTGAAGCTTCAACATAGTGTCCGGTTTGTAAACAGCGATAGTTTATGTGCCGCATACAAAGACTAGCTTATTATGTGAACTGGAGGGCCGTACGCATAGCAACTTCAATTAATTAAGTTCCTAACTACGAACAATTCAAGGCAGTTTTCATACAAATGAGAAGAATTGTAATGTTAGAATAGTTATATAGAAAATACCCAGTGCACATATACAGTTGAGGGGCGGCCCAATTTTTATTACGTGGGAGGGCAAAAGCTACCTTTTTTGCACAATTTGATAAAATCCCCCAAAACTTATCGATCGTGTGGGTTGGACTGTCTAGGTTATGATTCAAGTTTGTGGTCAACAGTCTTTGAGAAGGCACTACACGCTTTAGGGTGAGATATTTTGTTTGCGCGCACAATGCAATAGCTCTTAAATGGGCTTCCAAGTCAAATTTAATTTAAAACAAAGCAGAAGTCAGTTTTATATTGTGTGCTATGGCCAGTGTCATTACCTGATCTAGCAGGATTCAAACTGATCATGATTTTGACCTCTGGGGATCGGTTCTACTTCACTGACATCGCACTCCATGATTTCTGATTTGCACCACAGATTGCAGAATTTTAAGGCGTTTTCATAATATTCTGTGGCAGCTCCAAATAAGAATAGAGCCAGACTGAAAGAAGTGAATAAATTTAAGCAATGAAAGTAAGGATTTCTTAACTTTCATTATAGCACGGAGAGCAGAATTTGTACAGTAGAGTATACTCTGTTGTCTTTGTTTTTTTATTTAGAGTGTCATTTATATGTTTCATCTTTTTCAGGTTTACTTTCATAGTGACTTACATAGTTACAGTGCAGATTTTCCAGTAGATGACTACGGGGGGAAGGTATTGATAAAAAAGAAAATGCCTGGAAGAATCGCTGAGGTGAACCCGTTGCTTGCCAGCATTGACGATGTGGTGATTGACGAAAGTGGTCGGTTCAAGTACATCCTGTGTAAGGTTTATCAAGATGGGATCAAAGAGGAGACGAAACTTATAGTGCGAGGAACTAAGCAGGCTGAGTTCCACGGTAAGTGTTTGCCTTTAAATAGTTTGAATAATTTGTGTCACGATGCAGTGGAATCAGGCATGCGTCAATTTTTGGCACGTGGAGTTCTTGGCATCATCTGAAACTTTTTAAAATTTGCCCTGCTTTCGATTTAAAAAATACTCATCGATCTCGAATAGAAGTTGAGATATTTCGGATTGAAGAAGGTGGGTGTCACCTGGTTTCAGAGGTTAAGTGGCGACAAAATGGCCGTTTAAGTTAGGTCACTTCACTAGCTTGAAGTTTTACATATTTTAAGCCTTTAATCAATGTTTTTCTGTAAAATTCACATGGAAGTGTGAAGACGGACAAAAAAGGTGTTGAGCCCCCCGAAAAATTGATAAAAATGGTCAAACTGATGGAAAAATGCTTGTTTCTTGGATTTCAGTATTTTGATGAGCACCTGATTTCACCGCGCTGCCTCACATTTGATTATTTTATTGAATGAAGCGCAGAATTGGTACTCTGAAGTCTGTACGCAGATATGGGGCAATGTTATTTTATTTTAAGTAGTTATCAGGACCTTTGAGTTCAGTTGTAAGTATCTAGAGTGTGGTTTATGCATTTATGTGTAATTTTGTTTGCCAGTATGATTTAGCTAATTAATTAGGTGTAACTGGATCTGAGAGAAAGTGTACATTTATTGGTAATGATAAGTTTTGACCTCTCGAGTGCCAGAAACAAACCTGCCTATTTTCACCTCTTATCATCCACTAGTCCTTGTCTTCTCAATTACCATGATAGTTCTATTGTCACATGATGGGAAATAACAGTGACAACAATCAGTTATGGGCTAACTCTTCTATCTTCAAATCTTGAAAGAAAGGAGTATTTCTGTACTTCCTTCAGTGGTTCTTCAGTTGTTCTCAACAGACCATCAGAATTCAAAATTTGATGTGTTTGTGTGTGTGACGTGGTGAAACACCAAACCGATGTGCCAGGATCTGGACAGTAGACAGTGAAAGATCTTGTCAGTATGTTTATGTTTCAGCTCCTATAAATGGTTACTTAACACTGTATACGCTTCCCAAGAAGTTCAGGTTCTTTCAGAATGCTCTCTGGTCTGCTGGGGTAATAGTATAGATTGTGAAGCGCATAGAGCTTGCTGTTGAGTGGGGATTTGCGCTATACAAATGCTATCTATTATTATTATGAATGTTAGTCAGTCTGTCTTTTGAAACTGCATCTTTTTCATGATGTCTATGTCACAAGAACTTGTGAGTAGTTATAGCTCTTCATTGGCTTCCTATGTATTCCTGCTCAGTTTTTTCTATAAACAACATATGAGACATTAACTTCCAAAGCTGTTGGACGTAACTGGAGTCACTTCTACTGACAAGTAGAGTTTTGTCAACGAGACTAACTCGTTCTACTTAACACTTTCCCTACTGTGGCTCGCGGACCGTGCCTCGCTGGACCAAGAGCCACAAAATACGGCTTGAGTGGCTTGCTTGCTATCTATTCCAATCCAGTAACGAAAAGACACGAAATTCTCGGTCGATCCACGTTTTCAAAATGATAGAATAGACTTCCTGTTAGTGGACACTAAAGAAAATATAGCACTTAGAGACGAATTTTAGTCTTTTCAGCGCTTTTTTGTCCCCTTCGAAACGTAAATATGTGGGGGAATAGTGCTACCTTGACTTCAGTATATGTCTCATATTTTCACTTCTATATTAGGTACACATACATAACTTTCAGCATTTCTTCGCATTACTTGAGGCAACCTACTTAGGAAGTTTGAATTATGCTGCTGTTCTACTTTTTAAGATATGACCTTTCAAAGCTGGAAAATTGTTGATTTCATATGACACCTTCGATATTGCATAATCACTTTTGGAAACCCCAAAGTAATATAATTGAAATAAATATTCAATATTGTATCGCCATCTGATAGATTATTTTTTAACACTTTACACAAATTTTCCTCACTTCACTCAGGTGGGAATGGGTAGTCAGTTATAGACAGCGAAAGATCTTGTCAGTTTGTTAATCTTTGAGACTTAACAGCTGCTTGCACTGTATGCTTTCCAGGAAGCTGAGAATGTTTCTGAGTGTTCTATATTATGGTCTGTTGAGATAATAACTCGATCAAATAACTCTCGAGAGACATGGACTGGGCTTAAGACCATAGTGGGCTTAAACAATATACCAACAAACATGTGTTGACAACGAAGAGAGCTATGCAAATAAACTTAATGCCCTTTTCTCCTATTTTGACAAAGGCAGTCTGTGTGACTTGCCATTTGTGAACACCGACTCAAATGAAAATAATGCTGTTGTTGTTGAAGAATGTGAGGTTAGATGTGTGTTTGGACTGTGAATGTGAGAAATGCGGTGTGCAACCCAAAATTCTAAAAATGTGTTCAGCACAACTTAGCTCTATTTACACCTATATTATCAACCAGTCGTTGTTGACACATGCTATTCCCACTATTTGGAAATGTTCCGAAATCGTCCCCCTTACAAAGAAAGAAAAAATTAATTAAATGAATGACCTAAGACCAATGGCCTTAACATCCGTAGTTATAAAATGTCTAGAAAAAATTGTGCTAAAAAGACTACGAACATACATAGAACCCATCAAGGAGCCTCTACTATTCGCATATCGTCAGGGGAGAAGTGTGGAAGACGCCATTCTACTATTTCTTGACAACATATATAGACACTCAAACAAGAGAAAAACATACTGTAGGATCCTGTTTGTTGATTTTTCGTCAGCCTTTAGTACTATCCAGCCAGCTATCCTTTTAAAGAAATTAGGGAACATACGGGTTAATGTTAGTTTAATATCATGGATAGGCAATTTTCTTACCAACCGAACCCAGTATGTACAGGGGCCCCTCAAGGATGTGTTTTGTCTCCAGTTTTATTCACACTATACATGAACGATTGCCAAATAAGCAACAGTAAAATTAAGTTGATAAAATTTGCAGATGATTCAACCGTAATTGGGCTAATTCAGGCTGACCATAACGAAACCGCTTACTGGAATTTTGTACTTAATTTTTCTGAATGGTGTGAAAATCATAAGCTTCTTTTAAATGGGAAAAAAATAAAAGAACTTGTTGTTGATTTTAGAATAAAGAAATTTTAGATGTGAAAACATCGAGCAAGTGTCAGACTAAGTATTTGAGTGCTACAATAGACAACAAACTTAACTGGCGTGTCCACACTTCTCTCCTACATAAAAAAGTGAACAAAAGACTATTTTTTCTAAGGAAGGTAAAGTATTTTAAAGTTGATAAAACATTGATGTCCATATTCTACCATTCGACCATAGTAAGTATTATCAATTTTTGTATAACAGCAGGGGCGGGAACACAAGACAACAAGATAAAGAAAAATTAAATCGACTCTTACGGATAGCATGTAAAATTTCAACATCTGCGTTCCCCTACTTGGATGAATTGTACATAATAGCTTGCACTAAAAAAATTAATCTATCTTTTTAGACAACAAACATCCCCTTGTTCTCTCAAATAAAAACACCAGTCAGAAGTAAAAGACCTAGGCTTCTGATTTGTAACAAAGAAAGATATAAAAGGTCATTTTTATCATCATCCATCAAAATGCTTCCATCTTAACCGTTTTGTATAAGTATACTTACGACCTTGGAGCGTGCATCAGAATAACATTGAGTGTGTATCTAGCTTAAGATTATGATTGTTTATATTGCTGCTCATTTATATTGTGCATGTGATTGTAAGCCTGTGTGTGTGTGTGTGTTTGTGTGTGTGTACATGTGCTGAAACACCAAACCAATGTGCCAGGATCTGGACAATAAAAATGTATCTTATAATATAGTGTAAACTGTCCTTAGAGAAAGTTGCGTTTGAAAATAATCAAAAGTTGCAAAAAGTTGCAAGAAAAATCAACGAAAGTTGCAAGAAAAATTGCAAGACGTCTAAAAATGTCATGAAATCATTAGAATACATTGTTGGTTTGCTCATTGCTATCAAAGTAACCAACCTTTGTTTTGTTAGATCAAAATCAAAAGTTATATGTGAATGTCTACCAAAAAACCCCCCAACTGCATGGAGGTTGCATGGTGTACAAAAACAGTTTGTCTCCTGACACATGCGTCAGGTCCTGAAACTCTCGCTGACGTTGGGCAGGTGTGACCAGCGTGGTTTTGGGGCTGTTCAAATATAATCTTACACCTTTTTGGGGGGACTTTTTGCCCCCCCCCCCCCTTTACACGTTTCTTACATTTTCTTCCTCCCCTCAAAAAAGAAATCCTGTAATACTATTTATTCGCTTATATTAATATGACATTTGTATTGCGCAAATGTGTGTTACAATCGTTGACGGTAAAATTGGAACTTTTCCGGAAAAACTTATGGTGTCTAATTACCACTTTAACCGCACCTGTGTAATCAAACTTAGACTAGTTCTACATGTCGTGTAGCCTAGACCAGTGTATAAAGTGCGGGATGGCATATACATTCTTGCTGCTCGACCTACTGTTTCATCACAATATGCCGTTCTCACCGCTCTTAGTGAATAGTTGAGTTTACTCTTTAATAATGTCATGTGTTATATTTTTAAAAAAAATTATGTTGTCATAAATTATTTTCCTTGTTATTTTTTCACCGTACAAAAGTGTAATATTAATATTACACTGGTTCAAGACACCCCCCCCCTTTTTTTTTCCAGGTGTAAGATTATATTTGAACATCTCCTTTAGGGGTTTTCTGTGTGAATTGATCCACGTCTAGATCTACCCTCCTAGCTTAAGATTTAAAGTCTTTCCCAAATTTTTATACTAGATCTATCTACCTGGTGCTACGGAACCAAGCAAGCTAAGTAATCAGACGATCGTGTTTACGATTGATTTACTCTAGATCTAGATTTAGCTAGAAGAAGTAGAAGATGATTCAATCCAAACAGGACTATTGGGGTCTCGTTGGGTCGGTTTACTCGCCAGATTGATGGCGCAAAGTGGCTATCGTGGCGCAAATCGATGACGCCCGACTCGTTGCCTCAAAAACAAAAGCGTTGTTTTCAGGCGACAAGTCGGGCAATCATCTTGACGCAACCTGACCCGACCAGATCTCATCCGCAAGGGGCAGTGGTCACCCAGTAGTGCAAAGGAAGTGGTAGCTATATTTCAGGTACGAATTGTCCCCCTTCACGTTTTTATTTTTAGTCGTGGAAGAAAATTTTGGTTATTTTTACCGAAATTCTATTATTATTTTTCCAACTTTTGCGGAAAATTGCCTAAAATTTGCGAATTCACGAAAATGGCAAAAGTTGCGTGCGAAAGTTGCAGGGCGCAAGCGTGAATTTCTCTCAGGACAGCGTAAAGCGCATAGAGCTTGCTGTTGAATAGGGGAAGGCGCAATTTAAATACTATGTATTATTTTATTATTATTTCTCCCGGCAGCTGACATCTATGATCACCTGGATGCATTCCTGGAGGAGGTTGGGGTCACCTGTGAATGCGTCGGTGGTGGAAAGATGGAGCATGATCCAGTGGGGAAGACTATATCTGTCTTTGGCTACTCTCAAGTGAGTCTCTAAGTTTGGAGGAGCAAGTGGGGGTGGCAAAGGAAAAAGTACCGCCGAAGGGTTAAGTGTTCTTTTGTAGGACTGTTCAGAGAGATAGTTAGAGAGAAATAAAGGACATTTCCCTTACACATACAATTGATGTATATTATTTTCATTGTTAGTTTAGTCATCCTGAGTTGTCGCTCTCAGCAAATGTGGAAAAAAATATTTTATAGGTATAACATGAAGTTCTTTTCTTATTGTGTGGTAAGTTACAAGAAAGAACTTGTAAGAGGGATGTTGTTGACAGGTACTAGATGCTTTGTTCTTTTTAAAAATTTGAGTGTATTTTTTTTTAGATTTATGAGACTGCAGCACATTTGCATACCTTTTTCGTAATATAAGATGGTAGACAAAACTGCAGATGGATGGAGAGTTTGCAATTCCTACTCCTTCAATATCCCTCTGGTGTTCTGTCTGCATGTCTGTCTGTCTTGCCTTTTGTCCTCAAAACATATTTGTTGCCTTGTTGGCATGTCTCTCTTTAAAGCAGGCAGTAAATTATGACAGTGCTGTGGGTGGTCAGTGAACACCACAAGCAGTTCCTACTTCCTTTCTTCCCCTCTTTTATTTCTTTTTTAAAACTTCCTCTTCAGCACTAAATGACTGATATTGTGAGATGTTGCCTGCTTTTCTTTGTTCAAACATAATGTAACAAACAAACCAAGTGATTGCACTGTAAAAACTCCTCTGTGGATGGTTGGGCGGTGCTCTGGTGTGGTTTGCTTCTTCTTTCCTATCAAACATCTATTATCTTTATCTCTTTTTGTGTTTTTTGTTCTCTTGTAACACACACCTCTAACTTTTGGCACTTATATGACCTTATTGTGTTGCAAGTGCCGTAAAACACATACTGAAACAAAACAAAAACTCCTGTGTTTTCCCTTAGGGCTACGGCAAGGCTGACCACTCTATCACAGTGAGGCTGCTGAAGGAGAAGTACCCGGACTACCACAGCATCACCTGGTCAGATGACTAATTGCCCACGCCCGAGCAGGCTTGCTGTTGTACATTGTACTGAAGGCTGTTGACTCATGTGTACATACATGATGAAATATTGTATTATTATTATTATTATTTTTATTATATATAAATAGTTGTGGACTTTTGGAGGGATGAATACAGTGGGACTGACTTGGGATATTTTTTCTTCTTCAGGGTTTGCACTGAAAAGCAGGCTATGTTGTTGTTTTATATCACAGTTGAGAGCTTTTAGCAATTTACAGATTGTGTTCTCAAGGTGTCAAAGAGGTTTCTTGAGATATTGTGAAAAGGACGACAGTTTTGTCAACAGATCTTGTTGAAACTCTTGAAACTGCAGTCATTAGGGTCTGTAAGAGTACAGAGTTAGGATAAATAAAAAATCTGTAAGTTTAATCAAAAAAGGTAATGGTTTTGGCCAGCATGTATTACTGAATTCTTATAATGCCAATATCCTTTGTTAGGTACATGTACACGTATAAGAGAGTATTTGATCTCCATGAATGTTCCTGTACATGGTTCCACTGTATCAAATCCAGTAAAGTGTATTTTTCCTGTCATGCTTTATTTAAGCAGTTTGTATTGTCTTTCTTAACCGCAACTACACAATGTGCAGAAATAAAATTTGTTTTCATGTTAATTTTGGCTTGTTGTTAGGAAATCTTGAATAGAGCCACTGTCAGATATTTTTTTTTTCCCTTTAGTTTGTCGAAATGTCTCAGTGAGGCGGAAGAAAATGTTTTTGTTTTCTTTAGTGAGATTTTGTGAATCAGATTGTATTAGAAAGGGACACCACTGTGAGTATGATTTTGCCAAACGGTGACAAATTTTTTTATTGATTTGTTTGTTTTGATTTCGTCTGTAGGGTGACGGCAATGGTTAGTCCTCGTTGTCTCACACAGAAGATGCAAGTTGAATACACATTTAGCGGATAAGTTATTTGACCCAGTATCTTAGCCTCTGTTGGTGGGATGTTGTTATCCCACTCAGCCTTCATTAACACCGACAGACTGGTTTGAAGCAAATTGTGTCGATTTTGGGTGAGGGGAGGAGGTGGGTTGCATAAAATGCTCTCAATTCTTTTTGGTTTATACTTAAGAGGATGCGCCTTCCACTTCTGTATGAAATGTTTTGTCTATTGTATGAGGAACTGTGGCTCAAATTGGAAGGGGGTTTCACTGATTTTGTCTTTTTGGTTTCTCTTCCAGCCTCCTCTATGTCGAGATAAAGACTAATGTTAAAGAGGTCAGTGCCTTCTGTAACCCATTGTAAGAGGTTTTAATTCTTTATACCCTGAGTTTTTCCCCTGTTTCCCAGAGTTTTTCTACAGTCACCTAAACCTGGTGCACTATGTTTCATTATAACCCCAAAAACTTGCCTCCAACTTCTAAATGGCATAAACAAAGACTTAGTCATAACTAAAAAACTTGGTTTGGGAATAGTTTCGAAAAACAAGGAAAAACTAGTACTAAATGAAACGATACTGTCGTCACTGGTATCGGACGCTCCCATCGTCCGATGGGGTTTAAAGAGTTAAAGCACAGAACCATATCTCACACTCTAACAATTTTATTTCTGAACATTGTTGACTGCAAATACTCGTGGTTGCTTTTTTGATAAGCTGTGAAGTGTAATGAAAATGTTTGTCCTGAACAGCTTGCAGGTATCAGAGTCTTTGACAAGTGCAATCCGGTGGCCGGGTTTTCCTTGATACAGGAAGATCTGGGTTGTGAAGGGTTTATTTTAATTTTTATTGCTGGATGTCGTTACCTAGTTGTATAGATGTGCTAAGCCCAAAGTTTTTAGAATTTTGTTTTAATGCAGTTTGTTTGTCAGTGCTATCAGCAAAGAAATATTTTGTCAAAACGCAGATTCTTAATCTTGAAAAGGCAAGAAAGATACATAAATTAGGTTCAATTGTTAAATGAAAGAAACAATTTTTTTCCCTCTATCCTGAAAAATTTTGCTTTCTGGATTTAAACCATTTGAACAGCTTGCTGAGGATGTATAGAGATTAAAGGCTGTAAAATTTCTAAGCTTGTGACGGATATGTATACCCAGCGGCAATAGAAACTTTCCACTTTGTTTTTTGTAACTGCACCCTTGTTCACTTGAGAAGGTGAGCTTAATTTCGCACATCACTCACCATGTACCAACGATGACTCCGCGTTGATCTTTTTCTTGAACAAAAATTTAACCACAAGGTCTCGTGACCCACATGCAAATTAACACTTTTTGTGACTTAAGTTCCGCGGAAATTATGCAATCTTCCAAACTGTATTTAGATAAACATATCAGCGACTTTAGAACCGGAAAAACAAGTTACATACACAGTCCAGCTTGTTTTTGTCGTCTTAAATTGCTGTACAAGATGCCAAGGTTAAGCCTTGAGGAGCGCTGTTGAGCATTTTGAATACTGCAAGCTGTACTATCTGCCCGTAGAGTGGCGCGGATGTTTCATTGCTCCCATCCTACCATCAATATCCTGAACGATTGGTTCCAATCCAAGTTACTGTAGTTACACCTGATAGACTCAAACCAGGCAGACCATTGGTCGATACTGCCCAAAAAGACAGACTGATACTGCTCTGGTATCTTTGAAATCACTTTCTCACCACGACCAGCTCTTCATGTCTGTTTCATACAGACACTGGAAGAGTTTTCAACAATAGAAGGATACAACTACGGCCTTGAAACACATTCGGACATCAAGCAAGGCGGCCTTATAATTACCAACGTTTTGCCGTCTTTCCAATAATTACGCTTGAACTGACTGGGCCTAAGAGGGAGCTCCCAAAACGGCAATAACATTGTACAACGACTGGGACAAGCTTTGATTCAAAGGTGGAATGGACTGCCACAACAATTAATTAAAATAAGAAAACAAAAAACGGACTCAATCAGTGCGTAGAACATGCCAAGCTTTCTTCATTGCAAGGAGCTACAATGCCCGCTACTGACATGAATTTTTTTAATCAAGGGGTACCAGTTTGTGCTCAACATTGCCACTATATGATGAGATATGATCAAAATACAAAAAGTAATACACTTATTTACATACTTTGAAATATGTCTGTGTCAATTTTTGTTTTTATATATGTTGAATAATAACCACAGTACAGGTTTTTCTCCAAGTGGAAAGTTTCTATTGCTGCTGTTTATATTTAGATTGAAATGTGGATAGTTTTGAAGTTATTTTAAGCTATGTCTCTTGAGTGCTTTGTTGACGTGGTAGATTTGCTCGCATTTACATCTTTTAGTATTGGATTATATAATAATTTACATTTGTCTATGCCATTTTTATAATAGCTTTTAGAACACTGACTGTAATTTTAATGATATTAATTTCAAGTCATTACTTTTGATGGCTGTAACACAAATATGTGTAATGACATGGTGGAATCATGTGCTCATCAATTTTTGGGCATATAGAGTTATTTGTATCATCATATAGCCTCTTCATTTGTCTTGCTTTTGACGAAAAAAATATTCATCTTTCTTGAATTGAAGTTGAGATATTTTGGATTGAAGGTGTTAAGGTTGCCTGGTTTCTGAGGTGAAATTAGTGAAAAAATGGCTGCCAAAGTCTGCCGACTGCCGTAGCCTAAGAGTCCTTTGCAGCTGAAAATGTACACCTTTTGTGTCTTTAATTAACGTTTTCCAGTAAAATTCACACAGAAATATGTTTTTAAATGAACCTATAAGGTGTTGAACCATTTTTTAAACTCTTTGCCTCCGAGGGGGGTAAACCCACTACTCCGGGACCCTTTTTTGGTGCTAATGTTGAAAATGACGAAAACACCGTGTTAAGTCGAAACTGGCAAACCTATTTTGATAGTTCTTCATTTAATGGTTAAACTTCCGGTATAAGAGACCTCTTTTCGGCAAAAGTAATTTGATGTCGAAGTCGTAAAGGATCATGCCCGAGCTGAGGCTCACCGACCCAGTGGTTGTGACTGCGAGCTGCTGGGAGCGGCTTGCTGGAGATAAAGAGTTAAAAATTTGAGAAAAAAACACAAACCGGTGGAAAAATGACGGTTTCTTTGATTTCATTATTTTGACGAGCGCCTGATATTACCACGATGCCTGACATATTACTTTTGGTGTGTAGCATTATTGTAGCCCATGTAACAAAAAACCCCCATTGAAGAGATATTGTTTTTTTTGCTCCTGCAAGGTCAGATTATTTACACGAAGTGGTTCTGCCTTGTCTAGTCTTTGTCATGAGATACTTACCGAGAGTCCTTGTCGTGAGGTACTTACTGAGATTAGCAGTGTCATGGCCTTTGTGGGACTCACAAATGGGCCCTTGAGAAAGAGAGTGATGTCGGAGGTCTGTTGGTTAGGCTCTTGGACTCGCAAACGAAAGGGAGTGGGTTCAAATCCTGTCAGGGGCCTGACGTGGTGTCCTTGGGAAAGGCAGTTTACATGAATTTTCCTCTCTTCCACCCAGGTGGAAATGGGTACGGAGCTATAGACAGCGAAAGGTCAAGTTTGTTTGTGTTAGAGTGCGTGAAGTCCACAGCTTGCACTGTATGCTCCCCGGAAAGCTGAGAATGTTTCTGTGTGTTCTAGGGTCTGCTGGGGTAGTAATAGTAACAGTTGTAAAGCGCATAGAGCATGCTGTAGAGCATGGATTTGCGCATTATAAATGTAGTTATTATTTGTATTATTATTATATCACTGCTGTGGAATAAAACATAATAATATCTTTGAGTCAAATAAGTTCTACCTACTATGTAGTGATTTTGAAGAACTTTCTCCTAGCTGGGCCCAAAACCTTTTATTTCTAACTCAAGCGTTTCTGCTAGAGAAAATCCAAAATTTCCAACAGTCGAAGTGTAGTTACACCACTGTTGTTCTCATGAGCACAAATATTAATTTGTCTTTAATGCATGGTGTGTTGGAGAATATCTCATGTCTATTCTATGCTATACACAAAGGCTTCGTCTTTGAATTTGATCAGGTCTAGGCTCTGCATTCCATGCTGGCTGGCATATGTGGTGTAGCGGTTAGGTTCTTTGTCATTGTATACAGAAAAAATTCTAATTGATTCCCAAATCAGGGGATTTTTAAAAACTGAGTTTATCCATCTGTCTGTTGGGATGCTGTGTTCCACTCAGCCTGGGTTGACCCTCAAAGGCAAGGCCGAAGCCTCCTAAATGATCTAAATTGTGTCTATGGGGAGGCATAGAATACTTACAATTACAGTTGGGTTTTTTTTGCGAGGGAAGAAAAGCGCCCACAGACATATGTATGCATCTACATTACTGGACAAATGTTTTCAAAATGACATCCTATAACCTGTATCTGTGATGAGTTGATTTAGTTCTTCGTCATGCATTCAAAGATATGTACATTTGACTGCCTCGTGGGGAAAAATGTCCTGACAAATATTTCCATTTTTCTGTTGGAATGTATTGTCTCACACAGCCAGGGTGGGCTCCGACTGGAAGGCTGGCAGTTGCTGCTTCTTGCATGTTTTTAAAGTATGTTGATGAGGCGAATGGCATGTCCAGTCTTTTTCTTCATTGTTAAAAACTTGGCTAGACTCCTTGGGGAAGTCAGCATTCTGTAACACGAGAAGGCCTTGGCTAATGCAAACATGGTGATATCTGAACTTTTAGGAGAACTGTACTAGACTGTTTTTGATACTTGCCTTGCTGTACTATAACTATAATCCCTATTTTGTCAGGGGTTCTGAATTAAGGTTGTAAAGATGTTTGAATATACTAGATGAAGGTAACATGTTTTTGCTACTCTTTTATTGAACTAGGCAGCTGTTTCTCTACTAACACAAAAGGTGATTTCTATCTTGCTTGAAAACAAGATGTAGTATTTCTGCAATCTTTTTGGAGTTTCAAGTAATTGTTCCCTATGGTTGTCATAAGATTGATATGTGGGACATATGTTTTGGCATAAATTTTGAAATATGGAATGAGAATTGTCTGGTTTAGATTACTTTTGAACAGGAATGTTTTTGTAGATAGTGGTCGAAAAAAGCCCAAACAAACTTGTACATATTCTCTGTGTTGTTTAAATATAAGCTGTCAAGATATTTTGCTTCAAGTCATTCTTATAGAGATATACTTTTACAATGTTTTAAGCTTCGGTCTTTTTTACCATGTACCCTTGAGCACCCTGTATGCCTGTTACTTTTTGTCTTCTTATCAGAAAAAGGAGTAAAGCTTAAATTTTGTAGGGAGAGTACCCCCCATTAATATATCTAAATTTTGAACTGTGGGAAAACATGATGCTGGGATGGAAAATTCGTAATTTTGATTTGTTCCATAATTTTGCGTAAGTGGGAGTGGGACCTGACGTCCTGTCTCCTTTCTCTTCTCAGAAATTGCTTCTCTCTCTCTTTCTCTCTCTGTTCCTGTCTCTTTATCTTTCTCTCTCTCCCATTCTCTCCCATCTCTCTTTATCAACCCTCCTCTCCCCACTCCACTCTCCCTTTTTCTCTTTCTCTCTCCTCCCGCCTTCTCTCTCTCTCTCTTTCTCTCTCTCTCTCTCTCTCCCTCTCTCTCATTCTCTCTGGTCCTGTCCCTGTCTCTTTCTCTCTCACTCTCTCTCTGACTTTCAGTAAATTTTGGACTGATCACTTTCCATCCCTGATGATGAGTTTTTTTGCTTTTTATGAGTTACTACCACAACACAGTTTGAGAAATGAACCATGGGTGTACTATGGACTATTTGAAAAACCAATCTTTATAGTTGGGCCTACTTCTTTCATATCCACCAACCATATAATTATATTGGATACATAAGAACTGATAATTATATAACATTATATTTATCTTTTTTATTTTGAATGAACTTAATTTTCAGTGTTCTCCTTGACATTGTCTTAAGCAAAGTCCCTTGTATTTTTATATATATATAGAGATCTAATATACATATTTAAGGGTGTGTTTATTGAGCATCTAAGAAAAAAGAACATGACTGATGCCACAATGAAAATGAACATTCTAGAGTTTCTGTCTTCTCCTTACCTCCTTCCTCCAGTCAAAACAACTTTATCGTAAATTTTTTAAATAACATTTCTTCGGTGAATGCATAATGTGCATTATCCAAAAATAAAAAATGTTGTAGTGTCTGCATTTTTATTGTGTCCCAATAAAAATCCTTGGAGGAGGAAGGCTGGAATCCTGAATGTTTGTTGTCCGAGAAAGGGTAAGACATCGCTTCCCCCGACTTCTGCTGTTGAAGTAGAAACTGTCTCAACAGTTTGGCTTTTTTGAAGTTGCTTCCCCTTTATTTGGGAACAGGTTTTTACTTTGGGAAGTGTTTTAGTAACTTTTTACGCCGCTTTCAACTGCATAAGGTCGTATGACACTATGAGCGCCTGAACAAAAGATTATAGTATAGTTCAGGGTTAGCTTCTTATATTATTAGAAATCACAACATGTATATAGATCTATATATGTGTTTTAAAAAAAAATTCAAATTTGTATTCTTTAGTGATATGGCTTTTTTTTGTAATTTAAATTTAAATGTACATTTTTCAAATGACCTGTGATACACTTTTTTGTGTAGAGACTAGACAAGTATTACTTATATTATTTTTATTTAGCACTGTGGTGACGGGAGCTGTGTGAGTACAAATGTACTTCCCCTGACGACAGACATGATGGGGCTCGTGTGTTCAAGAAACTAATGGCATTTTGTACAAGTTTGTGCTGTGGCCACCTATTCAAGTGTCTCACTTTGCAGTAAACATGCCTCAATAAAAAAATATGTAGAAAACTACTGATGTTTTTTATATTTTGTTTTTCGGTGCTTTTATAGCATTACGGAAAAGGAGAATGACTGTATTTTGAAACTAAATGGCAAATGATCAGGGAATTGTTTAAAAAGCAGCTTTGGAAAAAGACGATCTTAATCATTTTAGTTTTAGTACAGTAATGACAACACCAGACTCGATCTGCAGTCGATAATTGGGCTCTGTGGATACTCTGGAATTGAAAAAACCCCCAACAGATTGGTATTGGTGTCCTCGGTGGAAAGGTTGGACATAAAAGACTCTTTTGGCCATTCTTCACGGAAGACGCGAGTTTGGTTCCGACTGCGGAAGTTGCAGTAATGTCTCTAATACTAATAGTCTAAATCGACATGGGGGTGTTGGTCCACTTCTGTATCTTATTTATTAACAATGTAGGTGTTTTTATGCCCCCATCGACTCAATTAAGATCATTTAGGAAGCGGACTTCCGATCCTGCCTTTCAGGACCAACCTGGGCCGAGAGGAATACAACATCCCAGCAGAAAAACGGAGATTTGATAAAATATGAAAAAAATTAATTTCTCTTCACTTGGGAATCGAATTTTGATCTCCTGCGTGCGAAAGCAAAACGCCTAGTTGCTATGCCACAGACCCTGGTGTGGTTAATAAAGCTGCCCTTCACATACCAATTGAGAGGTCTGTGAAAAAAGGAAAAAGTCACCAACATTAACTAACTACAAGATGGCACGTTTAGGATCGACCACCTTGCACTACAGACCTATCTGAAATGCTCGAGTGTTTCACACATTGCACTCACCGAAACACTGATTTCAGCAAATTTGAACGACTGGCCAGTTCAAACAGAATACAAATGTACAACCACCCCAGACCTCCAGAATGAAATTCTTTCTGAAACAATGTCGAACCTGTTCAAGACCCAACTCTAAGCGAAGGGGGACAAAGAGGTAATCTTAATCTTAGTTGGTACTCTTTCTTGGACAGCATCATGTCATTATAATATTTTTATAGGAAAAAACAACCAAAAAGCACAAGGGAGGAAGTTGGGAGTGGTCACACGTAGACGTAGATCTAAAGGTGATTGTCCAAGACATGTGTTTGTTTGAGCTGGTTTAATTTGTTTATTTGTTTGAAAAAAACAACAACAATATTTTGTTGAAATTAGTGCAAGGTAGCCTAGTTATTCCTTTTAAATGGGCAATTTTTAAGACACTTTGGATTAAGTAACTTTAAGACAAACCACCGAGCCCAAAAGTCAACAGGGGAACCAATCAACAAGTAATTATAAAGAGAAAATTAACAGTTATTTTAGATTTCATTTAATTAATCAATCAGCTAACAATCGAACCAAAGAATCAAAGAACACACTGATCAATCTGTGAGCGATGATTCAATCAATCAATCAATCAATCAAAGAATCAATAAGTCAATCACTCAGTCGGTGAGCTCGTTAATTAATCATTCCATGAACGAATCGACAAACCAACCAATCAGTATGAATAGACACGTCATGTAAAAAAAAGTCCATTAAAAATTCTTATAATGTACAAACAATTGAAGACTACAGGGGAAAAATGACTGTAGTCATAAACTGAAAATCGTGAGGGTACCAAATTTGAAAGCTTGTTGACGTTGACTCATAACCAGTGGCGAAGCGTCTATGTATTAGAATCAGATAATCACTGCTTACCTTCCTAATTTTGAAACATTGTCGCTGTCAAATTCACCCATAAACGTAAACCTCATAAATTAAATGTAAAAAGACGTTCATAATCAACAATGAACAGTATGCTTAACATTACAAACGGTTTCACGGCCACATAAATAGCCTGCTCACCCCTCTCGTGCCACTCCATAAGCAGTCGCAAGCTTTGATTAAGTAAGCTTAAAGTGAGGCTGGAAGAGTCTACCAATAGAGTTGAAGGGAACATGTGCATAGCAGTCAAAACTGTTTCATTGCCACATATACCCTGTTCACCCCTTTGGGGCCACAGTTATAAGCTATCAGAAGCCCTGATTATGTAAGCTAACTAACACTAGTCGAGTCTACCTCACAAATGTGACTCCTAATAATCTCTTAATAATCTCCTAATAATCTCTTGACTGCTGCAAGTGCTTGTTTTTTTCCTCGACTTTTTACCGTCCTATAATCAGATCGTGACCTCAATTTTGACACCAGCTCGTAGTCGCGAAAGGCTATACAAAAACAGCCAAATGTGAAATTTAAAAAATGATAATTGTCATGTTCTACCAAAGAGTTAGACTCACTGGTAGATCTATAACATATAGACCTAGTACTGACATCTCTGCTTTTTTGCTTTGTGTTTGTGTATTCACATCTTAAGTTAAATTTAATTTTGGTTGGAATTGATATTTAATAAGATACTTTCCCGATTATTTTGGCGGTTGAACATACAATATGAATTCCGGATTTGTTTTCATTCACAACTCAGGGTCGCGCCTCGAGTAAGATTCTTGTGTGATATATCTCCAGGCCATATCTGGTCCCGTTTCACTTTGATTACCCTGTCAAACAAGTCAGCCTTCGCCCCTGCTCATAACTGTATTTCCGTTCAACTGTTGGTTGTTAGACAACTGATTATTGTTGTTAGACTTTCCATTCAACAACACTTAACAGTTAACCGCTTGTCAAACAAATATGAAGTAATGACTCCTCAAGCTTTTAAAATTGGCACCCTCACAATTTCCAGCTTGTGACTACTTTCGTTTTCCCCCAGTGCTCTTCAATTGTCTTTTCAAGTTTTATATCACATAATATGTTTTCTATCTATGGCAAGAATTTAACACACACACACACACACACACACACACACACACACACACACACACACACACACACACACACATTCTAGGATTATAATTGTTGGCGTTCACCCCAAATTTCAGCTTTCTACTTTTATTCCTTCATGGTCAGGTAAACAAAAAGCTTTTCGTATGCGCCTCGTATATATACATACACATACATACATACATGTATATATATACACGTATATTTATGTATATTTATGTATATTTATATATATATATACTCGTACACACATGATATTTATCGCATGTCGGCTTAGATGTTTGAAATTCCTAAACTAAACAAGGACCTGAACAACATCTTAATTAAAGACCGCCCAGAACACACCGAGTATGCCAGACAGCAGCAAAACGGAGGACGTGATTGAAACCGTTTGCCTGTTAGCACCGTTGCCGTTGGTTCCGGGGTCGGTTCCGGGGTCGGTTCCGGGGTCGGTTCCAGTTCCGGGTCCAGGACCACCAGGCTTCATTGCCTGCCACAAGTCGCCATGTATGTCGTTGCAGTTTGGCTCTGTACACACATACTGACACCGGGCAATGATAGACTTTGGGTCATCGCAGTTGTTGAACTCCACGTGATCACAGCCCCGGGACAAGGAATTCATTCTGGAATAGCCTAAAAAGAAACCAACCTACAACTCTCACATATTTACTAAAGGTGAGAAGATAACTTCAAATGTTTTATAGGCCTACATGTAGGCCTACATTCAACGAGGAAAATCCCCCCCCCCCCAAAAAAAAATAACAACAAAAAAAAGTTTTGAATTTCTCTCTGTGATAGTGGCCCTAGCCTTTCAACACTTTGAGGTTAATTAGAGAGGCGAAACTCCAGTTAAAATCTCTCTAAGAAAGAACATGAAGCAAAGGCAACCAAGAAAAATAAATCAATAAAAAACAACAGCAACTCAACAAAAAAGAAGATAAATTAAAGGATATACAATTTTACTGATCATTTTCGAAAACGGATTCTTTTTTGTCTTCTGATAAATCCACGCACTTCGAAACTCTCACTTCCCACCCTCAGACAAGAAACAAATCTAGATCTAGTCAGCTGATGTGGTCTAGTACACGTAGGTCATAAAGATGATCTGCCACGCATTAGTTCAAAGTTCAGATGAGAGAGGGTTCTGAATTACGTTTCCTGTCTTCCCTCTTATTTTCTTTTCAGTCTTGCATCTTTGCGGGAAATCTGTGCTGTAGACTACCTTCATTGCTTCTGCTAGGGTTTAAACTTCAACAATAACATGACAGCATTTGTAGCTGCACTAACAACAACAACGACTGTCATAACGATTGAAATCAAACAGGAATGCACTAGATGGCTTATGTCAAGATCTCACTATATCTAAGTCATAATGATATTATGTTAAATTGTAGACATATTTTGATCTCAAGCTCTTAGTTTTAGAAAATAGGTCTCAAGAGTCGCCCCGGTCCTGAAGGTGAAGACTTGAACTTTCATTTCTTCAAATGAGATCCCCCCTCCCCCCTTCTTTTTCCCCTTACCAAACAGGGCAAACCGTTAGCTCAGTTGGTTCCATACTGGGCTTTGCTCAACTAGCATTGGTTCAAACACCCGGTAGGGAAAGCGTCTTTGAACTTGGATTGTTTTGGGGAGTTGTGTCGTGTTTCCACCCTCATAGCTCAGTCGATCTTATCGTGAGATGGGGGGTACATCCCAAAGTTTGACCGTAAAACGGGCTTACATCGTTGAACGGGACGTAAAGGCAACACCACACCTTAAGATGTGATAAGATAAGATACATCTTTATTATCCAGATCCTGGCACATAATTGGTTTGGTGTTTCACCACGTACACACATACACACACACGCACACACACACACACACACACACACACACACACACAAACAGACACACACATGCATACACATACACAAACACACAGACACATACACACACGCAAACATGAACACACACGCAAGCTTACAGTCACATGCATAATATCAATGAACAACAATATAAACAATAGTAATCTTAAGCTAGATACATGCATACTCAGTATTCTGACTGTAACTCAGAGCTATTCTGATGCTTGCTCTAAGGTCATATTCGTAGGTGCATTTCGCTATCCACGTATGGAGCATTCAGATACTTTCGAGAAAATGTAATTAGTCGAATACGCGTTTTAGAGGCTTGATTTTTACAATTTTATATACATGTATAAGTTGCCTTGAATTATAATTCATTGATGCAAACTAAAGTGTGAGAGCTGATTTTTAAGACTGTGCTAGCTAAGGTCAAATGCATTAAGACTGTAGTTTTCAAATTTCGTTCCATGCGCGGATAGCGAACTGCAATGGCGATATGCATGGCTGACTCACCCGAAGCGTAGACAGCAGTGATGGAACACTGGCCCGTGTGACAATCCACTGAGTGAGCCTTGCTGAAGTTGTGGACGTCATTGACACAGCTGATGTCATAGCGCCCGTCCTCTCCGGTGAACGTGTAAGAGCAGGCCAAGCACTTCAAGCTGCTAGCTGCGTTCACTGAGGGGTAGAGGTGGAGATTTATTAATTGTCATTTTTTGCAGTATCTATCCGGAGACATATCCGACGGAGATAGACCAATCAAAATGCTTTGTGCCTCTAGAACAAGTTTTTAAAAAATCCGGAAGGGGGTTACAGGGGGGCATGTCCCCTTGTTTTAACCGATAATTTGATATTTTGAAGTTAGGTTTGTCATTTTCTTGAAAATAATTGATTTGCGACAGCATAGTGGTTTTCGCTCATATGACCGTATGAAGTTGCAAGCGCCGTAAAAACCCCATACTAAAACTACTATAGTGGCTTTATGTGTGATCTGCAGCAGATAATACGCAATTTGATCCCACAAAGCAGTGCATCTGCGTGCGGGAGTGCGTCTTCGAATAGTTCCTGGATGCTAGCCGGAGATGTCTCCGAATATCTTCTGCCTCATTCGTTTCGTGACCGGGGGCTGTAGGTTGGGGTTAATCGGGGTTAGGGGGTAGGGTAGGGGTGAGGTTTTGAGGAAAAAGGGAGGGGGGTGTTTATAATGTACATGGTACAAAGCCGTACCTCAGAGCGTACCACGACAACTTAAAACAATAATGAGATTACAAATCAATTAGCGCCCGCATGTATAGTATGTGCCAGGCAAAAAATAGGTATATCAGAGTTGATCAACAGAATGGATATTATACATACACACATACAGACACAGACAGACACACGTATACACATACACACAAACATACACACACACGCACACACACACCACACAAATACACACACACGCACACACACACCACACAAATACACACAAACGCACATAATACATGTATATAATGTCTCTCTCTCTATATATGTATGTATGTATGTATGTATGTATGTATGTATGTATGTATGTATGTATGTAT